AACATTGACAATAGGATTAGACACAGGTTTTGCAACTCGGAAATTAGTATTATATTATAATTTGATTGAACTATCTTGTTGTCGAATATCCAGATTCGGTTTCGTTTCTTGACAGTCGTTTTTGTGTGTGTTTTTTTTTTTAGATTGATGTTAAGTTGACTCTCTTTTTATTCATATAATTTATTTTGCCATTTTGTTGTTTACTTTTGCTACACTTAATTCACATTTATTTACACATAATTTATTCATATATCCAATTCAGGAACACGTCTATAATCTGGAGACCATTTCATTTTCTTCTCGGCAAATCAACATATCAAAACAATTGTCACTCTCTCCTTAGGCTCAAAGAGGAATAACTCTCATAAACGTTTTCAGTTCGCGGAAACCACGACGTCATAAACCGCTGACGGCATAATACTGTTGCTCTGGTATGTGCGCATAAACAATAGAGGGATTTGTCTTTAAAGGACAATTGAGACAAATTAAAAGCAGTGTAAGGGAGGTAATCCAAATCAAAATCCAAATCAATTTAAATAACAATGTTTGATTACACTGCTTGTAAATTATTTATTAAGAAATGATGATTGTCTGAGATACTGACCATAACTTGAGGGAAAGAATTATTTTTTGGAATAAGGGAAATCATTTCAGATTTCAGAAATTAAAAGAAAATTTCTTCAAATATTTTTTTTTGAGGGGGGGTTAATATTCAACAGCATAGTGTATTGCACAAACGCAAAAAAACGGGGTAACATTTTTTTTGGGGGGGGGGGGGGGGGGGGGGTCAATTCGCATAGTGTATTGCACAAAAGCAAAAAATTGAATATAAATTCAAATCATATAACCAATTTGAAGTTCTTTGACTACAGTTATTCTGTGTCAGAAACCTATTATTTGTCAAAAATTTAATTACAATCCAAATTCAGACCTGTATCAAGCATAAATATTGTGTCCATTTTGGCCCCAACTTTTTAGGGTTGGACATCTGCGGTCATATACAGCTGCGCTCAGCGAAGCAATTTATTGGCATTATCATCCATAAACATTTTACCCTTTTCCTGAAATGCTGTTTCTTAGATTCCTTATTAGGAATAGCTTTGTTTCTATTCCAACACCTTGAATGGCCAGTCAATATAGCCACTATGGACTTTTGTTACATGATGATCAATTTTATTGTGTTTAACAAATTCAATATGTTTCAACTAAATAGCCTAGGAAAATCAACATTTCCTTGAAGAATAGAATTTCTGCAGTGTACTGAAAATAGTAGATTCCTCACTAACAAATCAGACATAGTCATTTTTAAGTGACCAATAAACTTTGATGTGGGCCTTTAGATTTACTTTTGATTTGTATGTAAGTTGGAACCTCTGTTTAATTCATGAAATTCTTTTTTTAACCGGATTTCCGAAGGAAAAATCAGTTATTGATTTGGGGATGTAAGGCGGGCAGGCATCGGGCCGGGTGGGTGGCTGCCAAACAGTGTCCGTGCATTTACCCATGAACCATTCAACCAAAGCTTTTCAGATTTTAATATGTTGTTACTGATGACAAATGGAGGTCAAATTCAATATTGACGATTGTCACTTTGACCGTTCAGGAGTTATGGTCCTTGTGATATTGAAAAATGGTCTTTCCAGTCGTGTCCATGCTTTAACTCATTAACCGTTCAACCAAAGCTTTTCAAATTTTAATATGTTGTTACTGATGACAAAATGGAGGTCAAGCTCAATATTGATGATTGTCACTTTGACCTTTCAGGAGTTATGGTCCTTGTGATATTGAAAAATGCCAGGACACAAATAAATGTTAAAAAATCCGGTATGCTGTGGCTCTGACAGCCTCTTGTTATTTATATGAAAGCTGGCTCCTCTTTTTATACGACTGCAAAAAAATTTTGGGGTCGTATATTGCTATCACGTCGTCGTCAGCGTAGAGGTCGTCTGAAAACATTTGGTTTCCAGACAATAACTTTAGTTTAAGTGTATGGATCTCTATGAAATTTAATCAAAAGGTTCAATACCACAAACGGAAGCTTGGAATTGTTTTTGGGGTTGATGGTCCCAACCATTTAGGAATTAGGGGCCAAAAAGGGCCCAAAACAAGCATTTTTCTAGTTTTCAGTCAATATCTTGTCTTTAAGTGTATGGATGTCTCTTAAATTGTACATTTTACAAAAAGAAAATTTCTTCAATGTTATTTTTTTGGAGGGGGGGGGGGGGGGGTGTAAAAAAAAAATTTTGGGAGGTGTCAATTTTTTTCCCCTCAAGATTTAAGAAATTGTCAATTTTCCAAAGAAAAATTGGGGTCACAATTGTCACAATTTATTTTGCTTATTCTTTGTATATAGTCTGAAAACAGATTTACTAAGTATTGGGCAACAACAATAATAATAATAATAATAAATTCTTTATTTAAAAAGGGTAAACACAGTTAGTTACAATTACTAATCTTCACTGAGGCCCTCATATACAATACAAGTAAAAAAATAATAATAAGAGAAAAAAAGCAAACAAACAACATATTAACACCGTTCACAATCGTATAGTCATGATAGTTCAGTGTACATGTACCATTAGAACATATAAAACAGTTACAGAGTGCATGTAGTAAATAGATATTATATACAAATCAAAATCATACATTCTAAAAAAAGTAGTAGTTGCAATCATTTCAAGACTGAATATTGGGACTGCCTCAAGTATCGTTTTATAATTTGTTTAAAACAAAAAGTGTTTTGCACTTTACGCATTTCACATGGTAGTCCATTCCATAAAACTGATCCAGAATAAGCAAAAGATTTTTTAAACAGTTCAGTTTTTGGCTTAGGAACTATCAAATTACCTTGAGTAACACCCTTCAAAGCATAAGGATTATTAACAGATATAAGTTGAAACTTTTGAAGTAGGTACTGTGGTGCTTCTTTCCGCATACATTTATATAGCAGTAAATATTTGTGGTAAGCACAGTGTATTGCACAACAGCAAAAAATCTTCAGTTGAATATAAATTCAAATCATATAACCAATTTCAAGTTCTTTGACTACATTTATTCTGTGTCAGAAACCTATAATGTGTCAGATATTTAATTACAATCCAAATTCAGACCTGTATCAAGCTTGAATATTGTGTCCATTTTTGCCCCAACTGATCAGGGTTGGACCTCTGCGATCGTATTCAGCTGCGCTCGGCGAAGCAGTTTATTAATTCAGAAAGTTGCTCTTTTCATTGATATGAAAGCTGGAACGTCTGTTTAATTCAAACTGTTGTAGATATTTGATTTTATGTTTAGATCTATCAATGTTCAGTTGTAATTTGGAAGTTTTTGTAGCATTATAAAAATCAAACAGTATCAATTATTGAATAATTGATAATAAGAGTTTTTACCTCAAAGAAATCTAGTAGAGAATTTATATTTCTTGTTGTCATTAGATGTGGAGGTGACAACAAAATAGTTGTGTGCAGGGCTTGTTACTATGTTCCCCTTACTTAAGATATATGCATTGTGTAGGGAGAGATAATTTATGCCCATAAAACTCATATTTACTGTAGGTCTTCATTTTATATAATCAGTGATATATTATTGGTTAAATTGTTTCTCTGATTAAAAAAAAAGAAGATTTGGTATAATTGCCAATAAAAAAACTTTCCAAACAGAGACCAACTGACAGAATTTAGCAACTATAGTTCAACCTTACGGCTTTCAACAAATATAGTTCGGAAACTAGATGGCAAATTAGTAAAAATTCATTGTTGTATTCATGCTTAAATAATCATTCTTTAGTTAATATTACATTTAATCCAGGAAAAAAAATGGTTATCAAAAAGCTAGGGTGTCACTCAAAATGATAGGCATATTAAAAATTTGCATATTATAAGGTCATGTGAACAAACTCCTTATTGGGTGTTTTCAGATCTTACATGAGAAGGAAATAAATCAAATGGAGCAAAGTTAAAGATCTAATTTTAATCAAATTGAAGGCAGATGTTGGTAAACATCAATGAGACAGCACCAAACAACACAATAATACCATAAGACATGTATGTATTTACAGATAAAACCTGGTGTCAGTCTTATTAATCAAGGGGATATTTTTGCTTGCCTTTAGCCTCATTAGGTCCCCACCTACTAGTCAGCTGTATCATATAGTAAGTCTGTTGATCCATCAGCACTTCTACGTTTTATTATGATAAAAATAAGGAGATGTGGTAAGATTGCCAACGAGACAACTATCCACCAAAGTTCAAATAAAGTGGATGTAAGCAATTATAGGCAACCGTACGGCCTTCAACAATGAGAAAAACCACATACCGTATAGTCGGCTATAAAAGGCCCGTACATGAAAAATATGAAACAATTCAATTGAGAAAACTAACGGCCTAATTTACAACAAAACAATTTACGAAAATCAAATATGACAGACTTCAAACAATGACAACCATTGAACTACAGCCTCCTGACTTAGGATAGGCCCATAAAGAATGTGGCGGTGTTTAACATGTTTGTGAGGACTTAACCCTCCCCTAACCTGGGACAGTGGTGTAACAGCACAAAATAATAACAAACTATAAAAATCAGTTGAAAAAGGCTTAACTCATCAGATCGATACAAAGTAAAACATCAAACAAAAACACAGACAGGACGTGGCAGGGTATATATCCATCCCTCATCCCTCACAACAAAAAAGTGAAGTTTGCCTCAACCAATATAACTTATTTATAATTAACAAATTTTTAAATGCGATTTCAAATAAAATTGATATGTAGGCATGATATCTTAATAAAAGTGTTAAATTTGGGGTAAATAAAAATTAAAAAAAGAATTGTGGTATAAAAAACTTTATAAATTGAGTGGAACATGTTTTTGCTCTAGGATTTCAACAAAATTGAGGCATAGGTATAAAACGCAACTCCATAGGCATACTGTTTCCTGATCATTTTTCTAGTTTTGATGCATTACAATCTCAATGTGTACAGTTTTTTTCCCTTTTTTTTCAGGAAACATTTTGTCAGCAAAGTTGGCAGTCCTATGAGCGAAATTACTAGAGCTGTTTTCACCAATGAAAAAGAAATAGTACAAAAAGACTACAAAAGATTTTCTGTGGCAGGTGGAGACTGGTGAACAAGAATAGAACTGTTTTGCACTGTGTGTTTATTCAAAGTTGTGTTAGGTGATCTTTAAATGCATTTTGTGACTTATTAATAGATGTTTGACTGAAAATTACTTCTCCTTGAAGCATTAATTGTCATAAAGGTTCTGTTTCTTATGTCCCAACAGATTCTAGCAAAATGATCATATATCCAATGTTAGATTTTATCAATCCTTAATTTTTGTATAATACTGACACTTATTCAAAAGTAATAGTATGATTCATTTAAATATATTTTTTAGAGAATACATTAATACGGTTTCAATATGTTAAGAATAATATGTTATTAAAAAAATAGAAAATGGGTCTCTATGACAGTGAACTTGTTAAAAAAAATATTGAAGGTTACTTATGAAAGTTGACCAAAGTCTCTAAATACTGAAATAAATGTCAGTCACTAAAACATTCCACAGATTTCTTGTGATTTCACTGAAGTACAGTGTTCTATAGATGGTATGAAAGATATTAAATAAAAGAAAATATAAGCAAGGTAACACATTCATACAATTTAGATCATAGTGACCTTATTCGATGGAATTATAATGTACTATATGATATTATAGTGAATAATGTTGATTACTGAAGAATGAACTAGCATCCAAAATAAACCTGTCACACAAAAATAGAATATGGGTGTTAGTGTCTCAAATGCCTTAGAAGTATCTGGTATTGTACCATAGGACTGCAGTGGTGAATATCACCTTTTAATATCGGATTTTAAAATATAAAATATAATGGACCTGTATGATACACTATAAAATAATATATACCTTTATTTATCAGGTTCTTTTGAATGGACCCTAATCAAGAACTTAAACTTAGGGGATGAATATACAAGAGCCCAAGTTCCTTTCTAAATTTATTTTCTTGCTCGTTATTTGGCACTGGACATTAATGAACTCTTCCTTATTTAAGGCTAGGATCATAATACAATGAATGGAATCATATAATTTTTGGCATCAATACTTGAGTTACCAGATATTATCTTTTGAGCAATAAATCAGATCTTATAAACAATCACTTTTGCATTACTACATCAAGACATTTTCTCTTATGACGTCAACATTTTATAGGAACGTCTGTTATGGCCAGTAATGGCAACAAATAGTGATAAGGTGTGTGGTTTATATTGTCCTTTGGGGAAATGAAGAGTTGTGTTGATTTTTTGGTTAAAGATGGTAGATTTTTAAATCATACATCCAACCTCTACCAAACTTTAAAGGAACCTTTTGATATTTTGACATGTGGGAGTATCACCTTTTGGTGTTTCTGTGCTATTTTGCATATATATATTTAATTTTTAAGCCAAAAGGTAAAACGCTAAAGGTAACAGTGACTATCAACATGTGGTTTGGGTATGATTTCATTTGCTGACTTTTGGTTTAAAGCAACTTGTAAAAAGAGAAAGATCACTATCAATAGTTGAGGGCATTAGATCAAAGTTTACAAGTAGACTATTTGTTTTGTTCTTACCAAAACTTCTACATCTTATAAAGCCTTTGTTAATTGGTTTCATATCATTTGCATTTTATAGATATGTTCAAACAAAAATTATTGGCATATATTAAAGCATAATGTACTTTAAACCAGAAAATTTTTTTCTTCACTTTTTTTTGGTATTATTTGTTTTGTTTGCATTTTTGGGTAGCATCTGTTGGCTGGGCCAGTTATTACTTGTTTTGTAATGTCAAAGTGAATTGTATTTTCATTTTAATGCCATATTTAAAGCATATACAATATAGTATTACACATATCAGTTTTATTTACATATGTACCTTATAGTGATTTCTGATCAAACAACTTGTACATTTTTTCCTTGGAACAGTAAAAGGGAGGTGATATTAATGTTCTGTCAACAATTACAATTGTATTATATGTACAACAGGTTGAGAAACATGTTGAATTGCTTCTTGAGTCTCTTAGAAGCGTTATTTTAAGGTAAACCTACAGTATTATAGTTAAAAGTGGTGTTCATTTTTACTGTCATGTTCACTTATATACAATGTTTTTATATTAAAAGGTTTTTTTCACTTTTATAGATGAAAGTTGTTAATATTTTATTGTGTTCTAACCACTAGTCCAATATATTTAGATTTTTAAGTTCAAGAATCCTTGTAAACTACATCTTCCTGGTGGTTGCTCACAGAATAATTATAGATTGCATTGTAATGCAACATCAGAATGGGACACATCTTGAAAATTGTAATTTTGGTGCCAAAGATATACTGGTAGCTGCTTAATGTCCAGCAGTTTGTGAATACATTATAAAGAAACATCAGACTAGGACATTTTATGAAAATTATGATTTTGGTGCCAAAGATAGATTTATTAATAGCTACTTCATGTCCAGGAAATTAATTGTATCTGCTCCTTAGGAACACAAGTTTTATAAAAGAAACTTCCAGGAAATATAAGTCAGCTGCATCTCAAAACAAACTGCTTTACAGATAAGGCCAAAAACAATATTATGGTGTGATCTACTTTTGCTACATTTTGATTTTGGTGCCAATCTGAAATCCAAGGTGGCCTTTACTATGGGACACATTTTACATTGAACCATTCCAAAAATACAACAGATAATAGTTCACAATTTTTGTGATTTTAGCCCACGTCCAAGTACCAGTGATACCACTACTTTGTAGCAGTCTAAAGGACCATATTTTAAATCTAATATTTGCAACTATCCTAAATAGCATTTTGATTTCTTACATTTTTTTAAACTATTTAAAAGTTAAGAATATCTTAACATTGTTGAGAACTGAAATATTCCAGTCTAAATATCAGTTGACCAGGGAAAGATTATGATATCAATGGATAAATTAGTGGGCCATATGTCAATAAGATAGCAACCAAAAAAAAATAATTCAAAAACATGGTTTTCAACATTGGACCAGTTTTAATACAGTATGTCGCATCACAGATAATAGAAGTGTCAGCTTTCTGTATGTGTATGTCAAAAGTCAGGAGCCTGCAATTTAGTGGTTGTTATTTTGTATATGAATCAGGCCGTTGGTTTTGCTTGTTGAATTGTTCTACATTTTTTCATGTCAGGGCCTTTAATAGCTTGTTATGCGATATAGGACTTTCTAATTGTTGAAAGCTGTATGGTCACTTGTAGTTGCCAACATCTACATCATTTGATTTCTGGTGGATAGTTGTCTCATTGGCAATCATACCACATCTCCGTATATATACTTTGTACTATAAAAGATCTGCCTTCAAGGCTTCAACACCAATATCAATAAATGACAAAAAAAACATGCAGAAAATGTAAGAGCTCTGCATCCTATTTAAAGGATCAGAGAAAGATCGGGTTAATATCAGGTGAATCGCAGTGGGTTTGTTTGAAGTAAAGTGATTCCAGAACACATAAGATATGGCTGCCAAGTGCAGCTCTAATGAATCAAGTTCAATTTTTTGTCCAGAAAATTTTGTAGATCACAACAAATCCATGTGGCCATTTGGTCAATATATGATCTGAATATTTGTTAAATCATCTGTTCCCTTTATGGTGTAACACCACTAATTTGGGCCCAGTCTGAAAAAACTTACCTGAAAGTAGTACATAATTTAAAACAAAACACATCCTACACATGGGTGTAGAATATTTCGGTAGTTTTGGTATCAAATGAAAGCTGAATAACTGGTGATCATTGAAGAACCCTTTTTGACTTTATAATTTTGATAATAAAAAAAATGTATGAAATTTAAAAAGGAGGGTACATTTTTACTGTTTCTCAAATCTGAAGTACCTGTTTTGGTACTTCACAAATTCCGGGAACCAGTATCCTCTTATATGCATTTAAAGGTATGTTAAATTTTTCAGTACAGGTACAAGACACCATAAGGTGTTGCTTTGTTTGGCAATGTCGGTCACTTATTTGAACTTAAGACAAATGAGCTGTGACTGCTTGAAATTGAGGAATTTTACAAAAAAATCAATAGGGTGATGAATTAGTGGTGTTCCTCCTTATTATTATGCTAGATATCTCAGTGGTTTAACTTTGACCAAAATTTTTAAAGGTCAATTCATGGCCAGTTTGTATAGATAGCATGTTGGTTTGCCTTAATTATGGAAGGGGTCAATCTTGGGAATATTAATGATTTTATTGAAAATAATAAAGTCAATATTAAAAAAATCCAAAAAATAAATTCTGAATAATTTCATTAATTACAAACAGCTCATCTTGGTTGCCAATATTTGTTGTACCTACTAAGTCTTAAAAAATATCGCTGAAAAGGTTCTTGACTTGAAACACACACATAAACAGGTGGCAGGGTTTAACTTCTTTTTGAGATCTTGACCCTTCCCAGGTTCATGTTTCACTTTTTATTATTTGAATGTATTGTCATGTTGATGTCTCATTAATGTTCAGCCCACATTTCCTTTTTGTCCCCCTGGCGATGCGTTATTGGGGACATAGAAATACTGGCAGCTATGCCCTTTGAAAATATAAATTATATGATAAATTGCATTGTACTTGCTCTCAAACCTTCTTTTCTTGCAGGATTGCAATAATACTTATATGAAGGTTTAAATCGTCAATGTCTAAGACATCCCTGATCAACTATTTTTAAGAGTTATGCCTTTGGTAATAATTATATAGATAATTGCATTTGCATGCAAGCCTACATTTCTTGTTATGAAATTTATATTGAAGCTGTTTATCAGCGCTGATCAATTATTTTTTAATTCTATAGAAAATTGCATTGCAAGTGATCTAGAGTGTACGATTTTTGGAATTTTTATATATCAGCAATGCCATGGTCAATTTCAGAAATCAGTGCCAGTGTCATCTACATTTAAGAGTTATGCCCTTGGAAATATTAAGATCTATTAATTATATTGAAAATTGCATTTTAAGCACTCTAACACCTACATTTCTTTTAGGATTGTTATGGAATTTATATCAGAGTTTTATAATGTTATATCAGGAACATCTTGGGTCAGTTAGAAAATCAGCACTGATGCATTATTTTTACAGGAGTAATGTCTCTTTGAAATGTTGGTTATATTAAATATTGCATTGAAAGCACCAATCCTAACTACATTTCTTGTCGACTTTTTACAGGAGTTATGCCCTAGAAAATAAAAATTTATGGAAAATATCATTGCTAGCAATCTCATGCCTACATGTCTTGTAATATATTTATTAAAAAGTTAAAAGAAAATTTGATATTTTTTTGTTATTGCCCTTTGGCAGATAAAGTATGTGCAACACTGGGGACATAGGAACACTTTTATTTTCATATAAATGATTTACTTGTATGTTAACATGAAGCTGGTTTACATCCCTCAAATTTACAAGTTAAATTGACACTTTCTCAAGATGAAGGTGTATCAAATGTGAGGAAAGGCTCTAATGTCATAAAAGTTCTGTTTCCTCATCACATAAATTGAAAAGAGAATAACCTCAATAATGTTGACTAGAATATATTGTATCTTTATTTAAGTGATATGACACATTTCTTTAAGTCAAAGGTCCAGTGGTACAGTAAAGTTGATATATCTGTCGACTCTGTGATGCTCCTAAGTTCCTAAAAAATAAAAAAATAAAACTTCTTAATATATAGTTCTATCTGTACAATAGTTTTATTTCTTCAAAGTCATTTATCTTATTTTACTTGGTGAATAAGACAAATTATGCAGCAGTCAATTTGATGTTGACTGAGTTCTTAAAGTCAACAATACAATGTAATTTCTGACATTACAAAGTACTGGTACGTTTGAAATATAGTTTGGAAATTTATGATTAAATCATGATTTTAAATATAGCGTTAATAAAAAAATAATTGTTCCAAAATAATTTGAATATCTGTTAATAGTTCTGCATTTAAAGGTAAAGCATTTAGAATATGGGATGAGAAATTACTGTATAATATTGTATATAATAGTTTTATTGTCTCGCCTTGACGGAGTCAAAAACCAAGACATAGGTATGCTGTTTCCGGGGCAGCGTCAACAAATTATTTTCTCATTGTCAATGTATTAGTTTGTGATTAGGTCTAATTTATGGTGAACCACAAGTGGTAGGTCAATCATATTTGGTATGCAGTTGTATTAGCATTGGCACATCTCATTTCCATGGAGATTATTTGGCCCTGCCCCCTCAGTCAAGGTCTATTGACTTTGAAACTTTTGCTTAGTTTACATGTATTAAATTGTGATTAGGTCAGTTTATGGGGAACCACTAGTGGTAGGTCAATGATATTTTGTATGCAGTTGTATAAGCATTGGCATATCTCATTTCCATAGAGATTATTTGGCTTCGCTTCCTTAGTCATGGTCTATTGACTTTGAAAACTTTGCTTAGTTAACATGTATTAGTTTGTGATTAGGTCAGTTCAAGGAGAACCATTAGTGGTAGGCTAATTTTAATTGGTATTCAGTTGTGTAAGCATTAGCACATCTCATTTCCATGGAGAATATTTGGCCCCGCCCCCTGAGTCATGGTCTATTGACTTTGAAACTTTTGCTTAGTTTACATGTATTAGTTTGTGATAAGATCAGTTTAAGATGAACTGCTAATGTTAAGTCTATGATATTTGGTATGCAAATTTATTGGCATTTGCAAGTATCGTTTCCATGGAGATTATATAGCCCCACCCCCTCTTCATGGTTCATTGACTTTGAAACTTTTACATAGTTTACAAGTTAAATGTTTGTGTTTAGGTTTGTTTAAAGGGAATGACTTATAATAAGTCAATGGTATTTGGTATGCAGTTGTATTAGCATTGGCACATCTCATTTCCATAGAGATTGTTTTGCCATGTACCTCAGTCATGGTTCATTGACTTTGAATATTTGCATAACTTACATGTTAAAGTATTGCTATTTTAATTTCAACATTTGCATAATCAAAATTACAAAAAGGCGAGACATATCTCTGTGATAACAGTTTATATTCATTAAAAAGGGGGATTTTCCAGTTTATGGAGAATTACTCAAAAGTGCTTTGAGCAGTTTTCATGAAACTTTGGTGACTGCTTTATTTCTATTGATGCGAGCTCCCTTTAGTTCTTTTATAAATTTCTGATATGACATTTAGGAGTTATGGAATGTTATTCTTTGAAAAAGCGACGGGGGTATCATGCGCTCATGGCGCAGCTGTTTATTTCATATCCAGTAACAATTTTAGCTCATTTTAGTAAAAAACAAAATGCTACTATTCTTGTTGCATTTAAATGTCAAGTATAGTAGATTGCATTTAAAAATATACAATTTATAACAAAATGATAGCATATTATACAATTACTGTCTTTTGATGAGATAAATTTGTGGTTTTTGTCGAGCCTACGACTTTTGTCACAGAAAGCTCCATATAGGGATAGTGATGGGGCAGCCACGGCAGCGTTAACTACTTAAAAGCTTAATATTTCAGAAAGTAGAAGACTGGATGCTTCATACATTGTATATAGATGCCTTATGTTCTGAAGTTTCTGTCTGCCATATGTCATTTGTCCTTGTCCTCATTTTCATGGTTCAGTGACTACTTGAAAAAAAGTTAAGATTTTTTGTAATGTTAATTTCTCTCTTATTATGATTAATAGGATAACTATATTTGGTATGTGCATACCTTGCACAATCCTCATGCCTGTCAGACAGTTTTTACTTGACCTCGACCTGATTTCATGGATCAGTGAACAAGGTTGAGTTTTTGTGGTCAAGTCCATATCTCCGATACTATAAGCAATAGGTCTACTATATTTTGTGAATGAAATGATTGTATGGTGCACATGTCCAACTGGCAGGTGTCATCTGACCTTGACCTCATTTTCATGGTTTGCAGGTTAAAGTTAATTTTTCGTGTTTTAATCTATTTTTCTAATACTGTATGCAATAGGTCAGCTATATTTGGTGTATGGAAATATTTTATGATGTACATGTCAGTCTGACAGATTTTATTTGACCTTGATCTCATTTTCACTGGTCATTGCTCAATGTTAAGTTCTTGTGTTTTGGTCTGTTTTTCTTAAACTATAAGCAATAGGTCAACTATGTTTGATGTATGGAATGATTGTAATGTTTATATGTCTGTCTGGCAGGTATCATCTGACCATGACCTCATTTTCATGGTTCATTGGTCAATGATAAGTTTTCCTGGTTAAGTTTGTTTCTTAGATACTATATTAGATATGTCAACTATATTTGATCCATGGAATGATTGTAAAGTGTACATGTTTGTCTGACAGGTTTCATCTGACCTTGACCTCATATTCATGGTTTATTGGTCAATATAAAGTTTTCATGTTTTGGTCTGTTTCTTGTAAACTATAAGCAATAGGTCAACTATATTCAATGTATGGAATGATGAACATGTATTTCTGGCATGATTTATCTGACCTTGACCTCATTTTCTTTGATCATGATAAGTTAATGTGATACTTGTAGTAAAACTTTATATTTAGGGTTATCAACATAAAATCAATGGTAGCAAAGCAGGCGAGACATTTCAGCGTGTGCATTCTTGTATGAAATATATATCATTCTTTTAATTGTTATCTCCTAATGAAAGCAATCAAAAGTAGCAGTGTTCTAATTGAAATGATTGAGTTAATTTTCCACAAGCCTATAATTGCTTTGGGTCATATCTTAGTAATGATGACTATCACTGTTGACAGTAAATGACTTAGTAGTTTTGGCGAGTGTGCATCAAGTGCAGGAGGTCATTGGTTTATCTCCATAATAGGTCAAACCAATGACCAATTTGTAACATCAAAATACAAAATATATTTAAAATTAAATAAACTGGATGATTTTAGTGTTTCAACGTAAATATTATACAAACTATAAAAAAAAAACTATAAATTAATTAAATAACTATGACAGGACAAAAATAACTGCAGAAAAACCAGATCCTGAAAAAAATATATATCACAGAACTCACTGTTACAAAACACAAAATCTACAGGAACAAGTCCAAAATATCTACAAAGAACATTCACATAATTGCAATTTCATGAAGGTGTCCTAAATAAAGAGTTGAAAAATTCCTAACATATCAGGAGTCCGAGACCAAAACATGTCAAATCTCTGGGAAGCAATTTCAAAACTTACAAAAGCTTGTTTACAATTTAATCAGCTGTCACTGAAAAACTGCATGTCATACACTATTTGGCCCCATAAACTACACTTTCTAAGATGTTGTAAGTCCAATGATTGAGCTGACAAACAATACAGTAAGAAGTGATTTTTCAACAAGTCTTGGGGCAATAAACAGATTTTATTTTTAAGTCACATTTGAACTGACGAATAAAAATTTTCTATATACCTCATTGCCTTGCCACATTTTATTCCACTTAGCATTAATTCTTTATCCTTCTCAGTTCTGCACTCATTATATGAATACAACAACCTGTATTGTAAAAAATTAAAAGTCATATGAAACAAGTTTCTGGTGATTATAATGTTCAGGAAATTATTGAACAAATGCATGCATATATAGGAACCAAAGTACTCTGTTCACCTTTTTTAGCTCACCTGGCCCAAAGGGCCAAGTGAGCTTTTCTCATCACTTGGCGTCCGTCGTTGTCGTCGTTGTCGTCGTCCGTCGTAGTTGGCTTTTTACAAAAATATTCTCCTCTGAAACCACTGGGCCAAATTTAAACAAACTTGGCCACAATCATCATTAGGGTATCTGGTTTAAAAAATGTGTCTGATGACCCCGCCAACCAACCAAGATGGCCGCCATGGCTAAAAATAGAACATAGGGGTAAAATGTAGATTTTGGCTTATATCTCTGAAATCAAAGCATTTAGAGTAAATCTGACATAGGGTAAAACTGATTATCAGGTCAAGATCTATCTGCCCTGAAATTTTCAGACAAATCTGACAACCTGTTGTTGGGTTGCTGCCCCTGAATTGGTAATTTTAAGGAAATTTTGCAGTTTTTGGTTATTATCTTGAATATTATTATAGATAGAGATAAACTGTAAACAGCAATAATGTTCAGCAAAGTAAGATCTACAAATAAGTCAACATGACCAAAATTGCCAGTCGACCCCTTTAAGAGTTATTGCCCTTAATAGTCAATTTTTAACAATTTTTCGTAAATTTTTGTAATCTTTTACAAAAATCTTCTTCTCTGAAACTACTGAGACAAATTTAACCATACTTGGCCATAATCATTATTAGGGTATCTAGTTTAAAAAATTTGTCCGATGACCCTGCCTTCCAACCATCATGGCCAACTTGGTCAAAATTGTACTTTTTTAAAGTAAAATGAGATTTTATTAAATAAATACTTACCATCATAAATTCTGAGTACATCCATCTGCGCAAGTCTGACAGGCGGAAAACCCCAAATAAAAATATCATCCAATGAGAAGAGGGATGACCAAGCAGTGCCCGTATAACCATGCCTTTATATCATCCATTTAATTTCCTAAAGTAAGCAAGAAGCCCTAGGAAAAAAAACAGGGGATGAAGGGGAGGTTGGGAGGGACCTTTAATTTATGATGGTAAGTATTTATTAAATAAAATCTCATTTTACTTTAAAAATGTACAATTTTATGTCAATAAATACGTTACCATCATAAATTCTGAGTAAAATATAGAATCTAACGCAAAGCTGAATCCCCTGAACCAGAAGATGCAGGAGGAAAAACAACTCTTTGTGCGGAAACTAAAGGTCCTAAGGAGTACAAACTCTGAGCTTGAGTAGATAAAGACTGCAGATAGTGAGAAATGAAAGAATTTTCAGTTCTCCAGAAACCTGCAGATAAGACTTCCTCTAAAGAAGCGTTATTAAAAAGGGCCCAGGAGGTAGAAATAGCTCTAACATCATGGGCTTTAACATGCATACTATTCAGAAGTTCTTCATTAGAAGAGTTGTAAGCTAATTGAATAGTTTTACAGATCCAAGTTGAAATAGTTTTAGCAGACAAATCTTGTTTTCCTTTGTAAATAGGAATAAATAACCTAGAATTTGAGGAGGTGCGGAGACTCCGTGTTCTCTGAAGATATAAAAGTAAGACTCGGATAGGACAGAGTACTTTAGAACTTGAATCATCAGGAAGGGCTGGAATCACTATTGGTTCTGAACCGCTGCTCGGAATTTGATTTTTGGCTAAAAAGGCTGGATCCGTTAATAGAGTAACAGATGACTTATCCCTATTAAAACGAAGGCAGTAATCAGCAGTGGAAAACGCATGAATTTCACTTCATCTTCTACCAGAGGCCAAGGCAAGAAGAAAACAACACTTATACAATAAAAACTTGATTTCAACCTTTTCAGCAGGTTCAAAAGGATGGGTTTTTAAAGCTGATAAAACTACACTCAAATTCCAAGACGGGATTAAAACTCTCTATCTAGGGCGTTCAAGAGTGAAATTCTTAACTAAAAGAGAAATGAATTCATTATTACCAAAATCTGGACCTCCAGACAGTTGAATCGTCCTAGAAATAGCTGATCTATAGCCTTTAATTGTAGAGGGAGATAATCCTTTCTCTTCAAAAAGGTGGATCAGAAAGTCTGCTAGTTGCTGTGCAGAAATTTGGAAAGGATCAATTTCCTTCTCACTACACCAACTACTGAAGATAGTCCACTTGGCATCATAGACGATGTTAGTGGAATCTCTAACTGCTCGGGAGAGATGTCTGGCTGCGCATTCAGAAATACCTCTCTCCTTGAAGCTATCCCTGAGAGGAGCCACACGAACAGATGTAGCTTCTCTGGATTGGGATGAAGAATCTTGCCCTTGAACTGGGACAGAAGGTTGTGTCGTACTGGTAGAACCAGTGGACGAGCACAAGACAGATGAAGAAGATCTGGAAACCAGGCTTGTTTGGGCCAAGCTGGAGCAATAAGAATAATCAACCTTTGCTCTGCTGATATCTTCCGAAGAACTTCTGACAGAAATCTGAACGGAGGGAAGGCGCAAGCGAACATTCCGTCCCAAGGAACACTCATGCAGTCTACTGCGTAAGCTTTCGGATCTGGTACAGGAGACATGAACACTTGAACTTTGTAATTGAGGCTTGTTGCAAACAGGTCTACATGAGGAGACCCCCACTGAAGTGTTATTGCCTGAAATACTGATTGGAGAAGTTCCCACTCTGTATTGACTGGGGTAAGTGTCCTGGACAGAGCATCTGCTAACACATTGAGTTTCCCTGGGACATGACGAACTACAATCTGTAGATGAAGGTGATTGCAAAGAAGGAGGATTTCTCTTGCTAAAAGGAACAGCTCGTAACAATGAGTTCCCCCTTGGTTTCGCAAATAAGCCACCACAGTGGTGTTGTCCGATGCTAGAACAAGAGATTTGTTCTGCAGTAGGGACTGAAAATGAGACAGTGCAAGAAGAACTGCCTTCATTTCTAGTATGTTGATGTGTTCCTTCAAAAGATCTGGAGTCCACACTCCTGAAACTGAAAGACCTTCCAGATAGGCTCCTCAACCGAGGTTGGAGGCATCTGTGAACAGTCTGATTTGGAACTGGAAACGACAGAAGTTGGCCTCTCAAAACGTTTGCTTGGGAAGTCCACCAAACCAAATGAGGATACAATTCCTGATGAATGATTGGAACTGTAAATTCCCAATCCTGTGAAGCTGGGAGCCAATGTTGATGTAGATAAAATTGAAGAGGTCGAATGTGGAGACAACCAAGTGGAACAACATCCGCTAGTAAATTCAAGAGACCTAGCAGTTGTGAAAACTGGCGAGCAGTAACTGTTTTTAGGAAAATAAAGTCCTGAGACGGAATAAGGTCTGACTTTTTCCAAGAGATGAGAAACCCTAGAGAGAGAAGCAATCTGATGACTACATCGGTATTGAGATAGAGTTTCTCAGGAGAAAGTTCCTTGATCAGTGAGTCGTCCAGGTAAGAATGAATCTGAATAGCATGTGAATGAAGGTGATCTATGGCTACCTGCATGAGTTTGGTAAAGGCTAGTGGTGCAGTTGACAGACCAAAAGGGAGAGCTCTGAATTGGTAAACCCTTTTGTTCCAAACAAACCGAAGGAATTTGCGGTATGAATGGCAAACTGGAACATGAAAATAAGCGTCCGTCAGATCCAGGGATGTTGTCCACATACCTGGAAGAATAGAAGCTCTGATTGAACGATTGGTCTCCATTTTGAAATGGGGAATAATCATGTAAGAATTGAGGATAGACAAATCAATGACTGGTCTCATTCCTCCTGTCTTCTTCGAAACAAGGAAGAGACGAGAATAGAAACCTGGATCTATTGAAGATACAGGGACTTCCTCCACTGCCCTCTTTGTCAAAAGAGTCTCTACTTCTGTTGACAGAAGAAGAAACTTCTGTGGATCTTGATTATTGGACAGTGGGATAGGAACAGAAGAAAGAGGAGGTTGTTCTTTGACTTGAAGAGTCAATCCCCTCGAATTACTGACAGAACCCAACAATCTGAGGTAATACTTGTCCATTTTTTTAGAAAATGAGTTAACCTCTCCCCTACTGGCAATGGAGAAATAGGAGTTTTGTAGTACATCTCTGGATTGGGTTCTGACAGTAACGTACGAGGGGGCAACTTCCTAGGAAGAGGGATTGGCCCTCTTGCCACCTCTCTTAAAACTGTTAGGTTTAGACTTAGGGAATGAAGACTTCTTAGGTTTATTACCTCCATCATTAGTCATTTTCCTCCTCTTCTCTTGAGAATTATAAGATGAGCCTCCAGCGGAAGAATAACTACCTCGTTTAGAATTATTTCCAGAAAGAGATACATTCACCTTCACTGGAGTTGGGGTTTGATTGAGATGCTTCTGTACTTCATTAAGTGGCAACCCAAAAATCTTATCATCTATGGGAGACTTAATTAAAGCATCCTTAAGATTATCTGAAACCTTTGCTTTATCCAAAATTTCAGCTCTTTTGGATAAAGTGCAGTTGGCTATAGAACCCATAATCAACAACTGAGAGGCACCCAAAGCCTTGTCCAACTGTAATAGAAAAGGCTTGACCTCTGGTGGAAGAGAAGAGTCTTTAAGTACTGGAGAAACTGCAGATAAAAAATGTTCAGCAGTGCCTAAAACATGAGAGGCATTCCTGAGAAGGTTCTCCGTTTTGGACCAAACAGACTGAGAAAGACGCAGTCCATCGGCAGGTTTAGAAGCAATCGAAGATGAAAAAACCTTGTCACATTTAGGTACCAAATTTACCCAAGGTAGAAAGAATCAAAGATATCATAATCTTTAGAACGGAACTGCTCAGTAAATGAGGCAAGCCCAAAACCACTCACTTGAGAAAATTGGGACTCATTAGCCACAATCCCATCATTGATGATCTGCAGAGAAGTAGACATATGGTTGGATTGTGGAAAACTAGTATGTGACTTAGCGTTGTCTATAGACAGACCACATGAAGCCTTGAAAGTAGAGGTAAGTCTCTTGGGTCTGGGAGGAGACTGAAATGGTACCTTGTTGATGTCTCTCATAATGGTATAAACCGAATCTCTAAGATCCTTCAAAGTAGAAGGAGTATCTTCTGCCTCAGGATCCTTACTGGAATTGGTAGAAAAATGACCAATTACAGAAGAAGAGATAGACACAGGTACAGAAGGTTGAGAAACATTCTGAGAGACCTGAGCTGGATTATCACCTTCTTCATCAGAAGTAAAACCTTCTTCCTGACTGCCTGGGGCCACCGAAAAGCGTTCTTCCTCATCACTGTCCTCCGGGTCACTTCCAATATTATGATCTGGAAGGAGTGAAATCACTGGAGAATTTGACTTATTGGCAATGTTCTCTAGCGTACCCAGGCGGTTGGAGAAAGACGTCAATTCAGAAGAAATAGACTGACGAAAGTTGTCCAGAATACTCTTGAACCCATCTAAAGAGGGGCCAGAGTCAGTAACCTGATTAAACTGATGCCTAACAGAAGAGGTAGGCAGAGCAGCAGGTAAAGATACACTACTACAACTACTAGCTGACACTGTTAAAGGAGGAGCAGGAACTGACAGATTAGATGTAGTACTCTGAGGAACAATAACTGGTGTGGTAATTGGTCCACAATAAGGCCAGAAACCTGGGAAAGGCTGACCAGGAACCTGACTAGGAAAAACCTGATTAGGTAACCCTTGACCAGGAAACCCTTGACCATGAAACCCCTGACCAGGAAAGCCTTAATAAGGATAACCCTGAGACCAAGGAGGTCTAGACCAAGACATGGCGTTACTAGCCGAAGCAGGTAAAGTGAAGCCACAGTATGACGCTGGCGCTCTAGACCCAGGTAAGTTTAGACCCATAGAAATACCAGGGTAGGATGAAATAGACCCAGTGGTGTCAACTGGCCTAGAAAAAGTGTGCGTAACAGTGGCAATGGTAGGGACACCTCCATGATAACCGACAGAACCTGTATTGAGGGTCTGTTGACCAGTCTTAGTAGTCACCGAAGTAAAAACGTCGGTTAGTTGACTACTAATAGGAGGGGTTCCCTGCCTTACCGTTGTTGCGGTAACAGTAAAGGGTAACAAACTGTCTAAAAAAACATCATTACCTGTAATGGCCTCGAAAGGACTGGAAGCATTAAACTCCATAATTAAATAAGTATGAAGTTAAATACTTATAAAATATAATATTATAACAACAATAATTAATAAACAATGGTATGGGGATACCTACAATATTCACTATCGAAAAAACAAAAAACTTAAAAGTCTTCTCTGTAAGTTGTAACACATGTGTCTCGATGCGCAGGCGGAAATTAAATGGATGATATAAAGGCATGGTTATACGGGCACTGCTTGGTCATCCCTCTTCTCATTGGATGATATTTTTATTTGGGGTTTTCCGCCTGTCAGACTTGCGCAGATGGATGAAATCAGAATTTATGATGGTAACGTATTTATTGACATAAAAATAGAACATAGGGGTAAAATGCAGTTTTTGGTTTATAGCTCTGAAACTAAAGCATTTAGAGCAAATCTGACAGGTGGCAAAAATGTTCATCAGATTTAGATTTATCTGCCCTGAAATTTTCAGACGAATCCGACAACCCGTTGTTGGGTTACTGCCCCTGAGTTAGTAATTTTACAAATATTTTGCAGTTTTTTGTTATTATCTTAGATATCATTATAATATCTAATATCTAATACTATTAATTATGATTTTAACCTTATTTTACATGATTTCCAAAGCATCAGTAAATACAGGTGAGCGACACAGGCTTTTGAGAGCCTCTAGTTTACATTTATTACAAATTTATGTCATTGTTAAGGTAACTGCATATTGAAAAGCTGTTTGCGAATTAGAGTATGGGAAGACAATAATTCAATAGCGGTGTATTTCTGAAGATTTGGATACAATAAAGGATTTTTTTAAATCTGTTAACAGGAAGTTAACTGATAAACCATGTACCCTATAGGGAAAACTTTCCCACAATTTACTATATAAATAGTTAAAAAAAACTGGTCATTTTGCGATTTTGTGAAAACTGAAAAAAAAGTTAAAATCTGTCTACATGCATATCTTCAGTTTACATACAACTGCTCTACAAAGTAAAAAGGTTTTACCAGAGAAGTTTGACAGGCAAACCATTTATCTTATATTTGGGCTGATGGATGGGTATACAATTGGGTTACCTGCAATTAATATGCCCCCCCCACCCCCTTTGACATTTAGTCAATAAAATCCACAACAGGCTTCATCAACTACTAAAAGGAACTACGTCAACACTGGTTACTTCATGTCTAGCAACAATATTGCATGAACATTCAGGATAAAATTTGTAAATACTCAAAAGCATACAAGTTCCACACATAAGCTAATTAGTCCAAAAATCAAACAATTTTTTGAAGCTGGCTTTCCAAATACTCTAACCTTCCTCATGGCATCTTACATTAAGTTATTAATAAACTATATAGCTCACTTATTATATATGACTTATGTCAAGAATGTTCAAATTCCAAGTCCATAAGTACATTTAATGATGCCAATCAAAGAACAATACATACAACTATATTCTATAAAATAATACTACTATAAATAGCAGTTTTGAATAAACATAATTATAACAAACAACTGTTTTATAGTATCACTGTTAATTCAATAATCGTCGTGTACATTATATTAAAGGGATTGATAAACAGCAGATAAAATGCAGAATTATTGATTGCTATTTCAATACATGCTGCACATATAAAATACAATCAGAATTCAAAATTTTGAAACTGCGAAATGTGATACTAGCCAAATTACATTTTTAACATGAATAAAAACATCCAAAAATATGATAAGTAAGTCTATTCATCCTTCATGTATGTGTTACAATATACTTACTCTTTCAGAGTATTATATTTATCACTGATAGCTTTAGCTTTTTCTGCAGACATTCCGTAGAGTTGTATCAGCTGTTTACCAAACATTTCTTGTACTGTTAATATCTATAAATATATAGTACACTCCATCTGGTGCAATTGCCTAAAATTTCATTCTTATAACAAAATGATGACTTTATACCCATCAATTATTCCATTCAACGCAATTTTCAAAATATTTTGCATTATATATGCACAAAGTGATTTTGAATTCATACTGCATTATATAATCTTATTTCTTCACATTATCATTGATATTTTGCATAAATTAAAACTAGTCAAAATATGAAAATATGACTCTGTATCTTAGAATAAAAGTCAACATAAAATGAAAATTATACAATTACGAGCAATATTTAAATGTTGAATCATAAAACCAAAAAGATGACATAAAGATTACAATTATTCAACAGATCATATATAGTTATTCTATAAATAAAGAAAGCACAAAACTTCAAATTAACAATCAAACCATGAAAATAAGAGATGATCAAGTGAATCCTGATAAGCAAACATATCAAACTGGCAATGATTCTACAAACCAAACTGTACCAGTAGTTAACATATTACTCATAGTAATAGAGAAATAACCAAAGCACAAAAACTTAATTATGAGCATTGAACAATGAAAAAATCTTAAGGTTAGATAACCCTTGTAAGAAAAACATGCACACATTAACAGATTACACCAAATTATAAATGTCCTTTTACTCAGAGCATATACATATAATAAACTATTAACACAGAGATATGTCTCGCCTTTTTGTAATTTTGATAATGCAAATGTTGAAATTAAAATAGCAATACTTTAAAATGTAAGTTATGCAAGTATTCAAAGACAATGAACCATGACTGACTTTACATGGCTAAACAATCTCCATGGAAATGAGATGTGCCAATGCTTATACAATTGCATACCAAATACCATTGACTTATCACAAGTCTTTCCCTTTAAACAAACCTAAACACAAACATTAACTTGTAAACTGTAAAAGTTTCAAAGTCAATGAACCATGATGAGGGGGTGGGGCTACATAATCTCAATGGAAACGAGACTTGCAAATGCCAATATATTTGCATACCAAACAGCATTGACTCAACATTAGCAGTTCATCTTAAACTGAACTGATCTAATCACAAACTAATACATGTAAACTAAGCCAAAGTATTAAAGTCAACAGACCATGACTGAGGGGGCGGGGCCAAATATTCTCTATGGAAATGAGATGTGCTAATCCTTATACAACTGCATACCAATTAACATTGGCCTACCACTGATGGCTCCCCTTGAACTGACCTAATCACAAACTAATCACATGTACACTAAGCAAAAGTTTCAAAGTCAATAGACCATGACTGAGGGGGCAGGGCCAAATAATCTCTATGGAAATAAGATGTGCCAATGCTAATACAAGTGCATACCAAATATCATTGACCAACCACAAGTGGTTCACCATAAACTAGACCTAATCACAAACAAATACAATTGTTGACGCCGCTGCTGCCGTTGGAAACAGCATACCTATGTCTCGCTTTTTGACTCCGTCAAGGTGAGACAAAAACTGACATCCAGAAAATTTTAACTTTGAACCATGGAAATGAGATCAAGGACTTCTGACATACAGATGTAAACTTCATACCAGAAGCTATTTATATACAAAATATGAATTGTCTAGTTCTACCTTCTGAAAATTTCAGGTTTATCAAAGAAGTTAATGCAATCACTAGATTAACATATTTTAGTCTCATATTCTGTAATGAAAAAGTCCCAGGTAAGACAAAAGTCTGTGTTTTATTTTGAATTTTTTAAAATGTTCTTTTCTTTTTTACCTTAGACTTCACTGATCCTACATTGAAATGTTCAAATGTGATCAGCTTTTGTTCACTATCATTGATATCAAATATTTTGTTGTACTCTTGAATCTCATCAATACTACAGGCATGTAATGTTTTGTTCTGAAAATAAAAGATGAGGTTATACAAATATCTGAAAAGAAAGAAAACTTTAACATCTTTGTCCATTGTCTTTCATTGATAGTAACTTATTTTTATATTGATCACAATGTACGTAACGCAGGCGAAAAATATTCTCAAAATGATCTTTAAAATTCATTCCTCCAAAACAAGTTCATAGCAGGTAAAATTTGCAAAATTTGTGACATTATTCATTTATAAAGTAATTTGACCGTAAGGTCAAATGCATGTTCAAATTGATAAAATGGTAATTAACTGAAACTTGTTTTTTACTTAGAAATATGGGTGTACAACTAGAGGATGGTAAAAGAAGTCAGAAGTCTAATGGTATTTTCAACAAACCCTATATAATCGCTGAAGATGTCTTGTCATAATTGTTAAATATGCCACTGTTTCCTTACTGCCTTTTGTTCTCTTCAATTGAAATCCATCTATAACCTAAAAATTAATGAATCTCCCCGTTACATTTTAAATACAAGTAACTCAGTATAAAAAACTGTTGACAGAGAGATATGTCTCGCCTGTCGGCATAAAATTCAGAAAAAGACCATCTGATGGACAGCAACATGGTTTATTAATTCAGTCGCTAGACCATTATCTAGCATGGGCCTCAATATAGTTGTCAAACTGATATGTACTGATGGTAATGCAACTTCATATAAAATATCAATGATCCATCGCAAGTAGTTCTTATCAAACTAACTTAAGCAGAAAACTTAACATTGAGGGAAATTGCTAAATAATTCAAAACCACTGGACCATGATCAAGGGGACAGGGACTCGAAATAATGGTCAAACTGATAAGTACCGATGGTAATGCAACTTCATATTAAAAATAAATGATCTATCACAAGTAGTTCCTATCAAACTAACTTGAGCAGAAAACTTAACAATTGTTGATGCCACCACAGCCACAGCAGTCACGGGAAAAGCAATCCTTATGGCTAGCTTTCTGCGACTTTTGTTGCAGGTGAGACAAAAACTTACAATTGTTCCATGTGAGAGAGTTATTCATTACCAAAATATTACATACAATTTGTAGAACTAGATTTTAAGATAAGACAAGTTTTGACTTGTTTTTAAATTTTTACTGAAAGATTTGTTTAGATTTGTTACTATTATCTTATTTGAAGATAAATAAGTTTGTAATTCAGATCTTACTGTAAGATTGGTCATTGTTTGTTTGATAGTACTCTCTGGGATACTGAAGTGTTGCATGGATCCATGATCTTCCACCAAAAATACAGGACATCTTAAACCACAGTGTTTCAATCTGAACTAATTAAAATAAAATACCATAAAGTATACTCAACTATAATTTTTAAAAACACATTTTTTACAGTTGCTTTTGTGAATAAATAGATTTTACTCATTTCAAAGGCATTGTACAATCTGGAAGACTTGTGCTTTTTTATATTTCAAGGGTAAAATAATAAAAACAATTCTAATAAACTGTTGACACAGAGATTTCTCTCACGTTTTGTAATTTTGATGATATAATGCCAATGTTGAAATGTTGACACACTGAAAGAAACAGCAAGCCTAAGTCTTTTTCAACTACGTCGACGCGAGACAAAAATTAGTTATGTTTTAAACTCTAAAAAATATTCTGTGATGCATCAAAATTTTTTTATTAATTTTTAAAGCAATCTGATGAACTTGAGTTGAGCATGAAACTGTAAGTGTAAATTTATATTTTCAAATCAAACAGATTACACAATTCACCTTTTGATCTTTTAGTCTACCATCTGTACAACTGTGTACTAAATCATCCATTCTTTTTCTCTCCACTATATAGTCTAATACAAGTTCTTTGGGTTTATGATCTGGTGCAAAATCTAAAGCACATAAATTCAGTTTTGTTTATAACAGTGTCATAGCAGGAAATCTAATGCAAAAGTAAAAATTTGAAAATAAATTTTGATTAATATATTCGCAAATGCAAGCGAAAGGCTGAAGACATTGTTGATTTTATGTAAACATTGAAAAAAGGTATACCAACAAAATATGAGGCAAAACCATGTTTTTGGGGGGTAAGAAATTTGAATTTCAATCAATTTTGAAGATAAAGAAATGTACTGTGAGTTGTTAATCACTAATTTAAATCCCTACTCTTGGGGAAATTTTTGCACATGAAAAAAGATGTTTGCAGCAAATAAGTAGATATGTGACCAATCTAAAAATACGTCACACAGTACAGATTACCAACAGTATGAAGCTTGGTACAAAATATCAAGATGTCATGCAGTATAGCTTACCAGCAATATGAAGCTTGGTACCAAATATCAAGAAGCGCTGATTTATACTTCTTGTGAAAAACATTTCTTATATGAGCATCAATGTAAAGAACACAGTTATGTTACTTGTTTTCATGCTTAATACCAATCTGACAAATCAACCCCTTTCCAACTGATTTGTATAGATCTCATGTTGTGTTGGTACACTACTGTCCCAGGTTAGGTGAGGGTTGAGCATACCTAGATCCCACAATGTTCTTTAAGTGCCTATTCCAAAGGATTTGAAAATCTATCATATGGTATAGCTTACCAATATGAAGCTTCGTACTAAATATTAAGAGCCTCTGACTTGTAGTTGCTGCGGAAAATTCAACATTAATGTGTGGAAAAACAGAAGGATGGACAGGCAGAGGTAAATATGTAAACAATTCTTTTGAAGAGTAGCTTTAATAATACTACTGTTGTGTTCTTGATTTTCCAAAAATGTGTATTTTACATGGTTTCAAAATAAAACAATTAAACTTTTTTACTTGTTTACTGTTAACCTTGTTTTTTTTAGATTTCTATGTCATCATAACTTTTTAACAAATACCAAAAAATTCTAATTTTGGGCTAAATTTTCTTAAAAGATCTAATCTTAACCTTATGCTTGAGTCATCAGTTCATAATACAATGTAAAACTGTCCCAACTTCATTGAATCTGAAAACTTATGGTATACAACTGGACCTATTAAAACATTTTTCATACGAAATAAAAACTTTTTCAACAAAATCTTATAAAGAGTTTTACTTCGTGAGTATTCTGGTTTTTCTCTAGCAAGCCACAATAAGTCTCCAACTTGCAATTCTCTTAAATCACAGTTAATACCATTCTTCATAAGATCTGGTAGCAAATTCTTACTGCCTTTCTTTCTGTTTTGTTAACATGCAAAATAAAAAAAATAAAGACTGCCTATATACATGTTATAGATATTACAACAGTTAGTGTACTTGTCACAAATATAGTGTGTTTTATTTTCTCTAAAAACTTTATGATTTTAACACAACTATATCAATTTAACTCATACAACTATAGTGATCTGTTCAATAACATTTAATATGCTTTATAAAGGATGTTAATTTTCAGTCTATCACATCATTAAATTTTGAATAGACAGTTTCTAAGATTATTTCTCAAATTTGAATTAAATAGTTTCTAAAACTGTTTCCCTGATTGAAACATTTGTTTTACAATAAAAACAGAAGTTGTAAATATGTAACAGTTATTCATCTCCAATGTTATCCAAGTTGAATATTATAATAACAACAAGCTGTGGACTAGTTTACTATCCACAGTTATCAGGTATCAGTGGTTTCTATCACATTTGAAACTGTGCTTGATATAATTATTGAGTTTTCAGGTTTTTTTTCTTTACTATAGTTAAAAACATAAAGCTTTCAATTTTAATTTCTAGGAATTCTCTGTCCAACTTTAGTGTCTTTTAGAAAATCTACAGATATCTACAAATAAGATCAATTATTATTCATAGTGTAACTTTTGAAGAGACTATTATTTGACCACAAAACATTCTGCATGACATGTCGCTAAATGCAATCAATGAAGAACCAAGCAGGTCTTCCTTTTAGATAATTAGACCTACCCTCCTCCATAAAATTCTCTATTGTCAATGCACAAAACTATTTCAAACTGCCCCGGTCTTAGTATAAAATCTGGTCTTGGTAAACTGTATGTAGATGATACTGAACTGATGCTCTTTATAGAGCTCTGGGAACTCTGAGAATCTAGCTCTATGGTTTCTTGAATCTTTGAAAAGGACGGAATGGGAGGTAGATTATCTAACAAAGGAAGTAATTTGAGTCCTGCTGATGGATTTGACATCGAACTTTGCTGCTTTTTTTGTCTAGGTTTCTTTTCCTGAACAGATTTTTTTGCTTCTTGAACTAAAAATATGAATAAGCTTTTAAAGATTCTCAACACATCAATCTTATTACTTTGATTATGTTATAACATTCTGTTAAACCTTTTTAAAAAAGTCAAAATAAAACATAATAAAAATAGAAGTTGCTTCTGTAAAATCTGCTCAGCTAAACTTTTGATAATGCATCTACTTTTTGCTGATCATCAAATGTCATCATACACCACATTATCTCCAAAATAAATAGAAGTAACATAGGGACTTCTGTAATGTTGGTAAAATTTTTGGAAATAGTATATCACAGTTTAGTGTTATGTAAGACAATTTTTTTAAATGCGATTAAAGTTCTGCAACAAATCAAATGAAAATAACTTATCATAGCATATTGATATACATCATTTGGTTTCTTATAATCATCAGCAGCAATAAAGTTGAATACCGTTATATACCAATTACAATTAAGTGGTAAAAAAACCAATTTAATTGAAAATATTAACTTTTATCAAATCTATTACTTTATTACTTATTTTTAAGGTTATTTTTCAATTTTCTTCAAATGAACTTTAAACTGACCTATGGTTGGCCACTTACTACTTACACCACTTGATTTGAATTTTGGTGGATAGTTGTCTCATTGGCAATCATACCACATCTCCTTATTTTTATAACAGTTACTTTTATAGTTTAAATAATAGTTTTAACGAACATATAAACATATGCATGTACAATACAATAAGTCATCATAAATTTAAAGTTTGATTGATTTTAAAAAGTTGCTTTATATGGAGTTTGTAATGATATTTCAATTCATAGCTTCACTTTTGCAATGGTTCTATATGTTCAAAACAATTGAAAAAGTTGCCTTTACCTGGTATATGATCAGGGATGATTGGTATGGGATGATGAACTTCAATATTTGGTGTGATATTGAGAGTTGGCAAAGGTGGAACACCTGGTGCTACATCTGGTGCATCACTGTCTTTGATGTAGGCATAAACATGATCAGTCATTGGTCTGTTTTAATAAAACAAAAAGGCCAATCAAAGAATTTATTCAAAACACTACATAATCCCTAGGCTAGTTTATAAATGAACTATTAAAAAGAAAAGCTTGTTCAATGTAATGTATAACCATAAAGCACTTTTGTCATTGATACAATCAAAGCTTACTTTTAATCTAACGTAGTCGTATATTTTTAGCAATACTATACAAATATCAATATGAATATTATTGAATGTTATGGACGCCAGGGAAACAGCATGATTAAGTGGGTGTCAACTCTCCAGATTTCATTTAATTATATCTTAGTGTTTTGTCCTTCAAGGAATTTGGTGGAGATAAATCTTTGGTAATTTTGTTTGACATTTTTACATCCTTTCTATTTCAGTCAGATTTAGAGTTTATAATGCAATATAGACAATCATCTATTTCTGAAGACTGTATGTTGAACTCTAGATGTCTATTTGGATGTATTGTGTTGTTGGTGTGCTGCATCATTGAAGTATAAACACATTTGCTTTTATTCATAACAAACATTTTTGTAATAGGCAATTTAATCAATATACATGTAACATGCAGTATATGGAAGAATCTGTGGAAGTTTGGATGAATTCTGTTAAGCCATTTCCAAGAAGTTGATGATTACAAAGTGTGAAATGGAAGACACAGATAATGACATTGCGAGAAGACAAAAGTGATCCTTATGTGTCCCTGCAGCTTTGATGTCAGGCAACACAATAATATGAACTAATATTCTGTTATTATCGCTATTTTGTGTATTTTTCCTTTGCTATTTTTTTGTGATAATTTTTCATATCATGCTACCCGCTTGAGATAGAAAATTATCGTCAGAAACTAAGGATGCACTTGACATTGTCAATATAAACATCAACGACATCATAGGCAAAATAGTGATAAAAAGATTATCAATGGTCTTTCAATATCGAGGATGTTTCTCGACCACATCTCTAGATTGTAGCTGAGAAACACCCTCTTGTTTGAAGAACCATTGATAATCTATAACTATGATATTGCAAAATGTGATGTAACTCATGTCTAAGCTATGCTTTGTGTCATAAGTGTTTTACAAGCTTTTATAAAAACAAACTTTGGTAATAAATTTCTTTTGGCTTATAATTATATATGCATACCTGCTGGTGTCTAATTTATAAAGCAAGCCTGATGACAACAATCTTTGATAATTACACTTAATTAAAAATCCAAATCCAATATCATCTGAAATAAAATTCATCTAACAAATTAAATAATGTGTCTATAACAAACAGGCATATACTGTAAACAAATAATATACCAATGTAAAAAAAATCAGATAACAGCTGATATACAAAAAATTGTTATCACGTTCTGAGCCAATTGGCAGCATATGTAAGTTGAAGCATGATAAGCTGGAACATAAGATTTGACCAAACTTGCATCAAAAGTCATATTTTTGTGTATTCTATACAGTAGTATCCGATTTATGAGAAAACAAGGCAAGTTGAAAAAGATATTTGGAAATATGATAAACGTCAGAACAATGCTTCAATTTTTGTAAATTATAAAATATGGAATACTTCTTTTTAATAGGCATGGAAATGCTGATATGTTGCTATGGGAAACCCCATCGCTATGATAAAAAAATAGGTACACAATGATATATAAGAGAGTCTGTCATGGCTTCACTGAAATTCAGTCAGTTTTATTTAAGAGAAATTCACATTTAAAATGTGAACAGACAAAGGAATCTGTAATACAGTTATTATCTTTGGTCGCTGTCTGCTATATTTATTTTTCATTTGTTGATTTTTAAGCATAAATCAGGACTTTGTTTATTTTTAATTGTTTCACATTTTGTCATGCCAGGACCTTTCATAAGCTTACAATCAAGTATGGGGTTTGCTCATTGTTGGAGACAGTGACAAGACCAATAGTTGTTTACATCCTTTTCCATTGGTCCCTGGGGGAGAGCTGTCTCATTAGGCCAAAAAAAAATATATGTCTGTTTAAGGTTACATACTTTAAAAAAATAGGGTAGGTAGGTCGGTATTTCCATTTTATTTTATTTTTTCATTTTATTTTTTGTGACATGATTTTGAGTCATGCCGTTTCGTCTTGTCGTGGTCCGAGTTGATCATGGGCCGAGTTTACTCTTATTTTTAATGATTGGATTATTTCCCTTGGTAATTGGTTGGAAAATGGCGGCAAAGTGTTTATTTCATCACACGAGTTGCGAATTTCCTTAAAACAGCTGTCATATTCACGATTGTGAACATTAGGATGTATCAGGCAATTGATTTATATTATTTGCAACACTAACTTCGCTTTTGACACGAGTTCAGTTTATTTTTCACTTTACAACGGAAATAAAATGACTTAGGGTCGGCGCTCAAAAGTAGGGTCAGTCGGGTAACCGTAAACAGACATATATTTTTTTTTGGCCTTAGCAATGAAACAGCATCTTCTTATTGTTAAATGGATGAATGAACAAAATGATAAAAAAAGACAACAATCATTTTCTACTACTGTCTCAATAAGCACAGGAATAAAAAGATCTTTGAATTCATCTCTCCCTTACTACAAAAAAAAGAGTTTCATAGAAATCAAAATAAAATAAACAGCTGCGCCAAGAGCGCATGATACGCCCGTCGTCTTGTGGGTGAATTTTTATGCAATAATCATAAAAAGTTTCTGACTTATGGCGCGACATGCGAAAAAACCCCTTTTTTTTTTACAAAAAACTCAATATCTCTAAAATAAAATTTTGAATCAAAACCAAAAAGTATACAGATCTTTAGATTAATATAACTAAGAAGTGTGTAAAATTTTAAGCAATAATCATAAATCGTTTTTGAGATATGGCGCGACATGTGAAAACCCCCCTTTTAAAAAAAAAACAAATCAATATCTCTAAAATAAAATTTTGAATCAAAACCAAAAAATATACAGATCTTTAGATTAATATAACTAAGAAGTGTGTAAAATTCTAAGCAATAATCATAAATCGTTTTTGAGATACGGCGCAACATGTGAAAAACCCTCCCCCTTTTTTTACAAAATACTCAATAAATCAAAAATAAAATTTTGAATCATCATCAAAAAGTATACAGATCTTAAGATTAATATAACTAAGAAGTGTGTAAAGTTTTAAGGAATAATCATAAATTGTTTTTGAGATACGGCGCGACATGTGAAAAAAAATCACACACCTGTTTTAGTTACTAAGTCTCGTAACTCAAAAAGTTTTAATCTTATTTTCACCAAAAAGTATACAGATCGTTTGACCATCATAAGAAACAACTGTGTTAATTTCATGAAATTTGGATAAGTCGTTCTCAAGTTACGGTGCGACATGTTTACGCCGGACAGACAGACGGACAGACGACATTTGTATACCATAATACGTCCTGTCAAAATTTTGACGGGCATATAAAAATAATGCAGTTATTTGTAAATACTGACCATCAATGGAAACAGCAGCCTGATCTTTTGTGATTACTTCTGTGTTATCATCTCTGATGTACTTAAAGTTTATATTTCTGAAGAAGAAAAATATTCTTTATTATTATTTTAATTCAAATTTGACTACAATAACCATTTCTTGTAACATGGAACAATTACAAAATTTACAAACAACGTTTAAAAGGAGGAGAAAAACATATTATAACGAGTATAAGAGGACAAGTATACTTCTAAAGAAATTGAGTTTCAATATCAGAAACATCAATATCTCTATTCATTGGACAAGGTGTTACACAAGTAAAAGGGAGTAGCTGCACCTGGCAGTATTATATGCTAATATGTAATAAATGTATATAAGGACTGATGAATGGACAGATGTATGCAAAATGTATTTTTCCATATAATTTTTCCAACACATAATCATACATGTGAACCTCCCGACGGGAGTACAATAATCCCGTTTTCAGGGGTCTCCTCCCGACCTCCTGTTGAAGAGAAAAAAATCCCGTGTATGAAATTTTCATGAATGAAAAATTTCTGCCCAACATATCATCTCAGACATCTGGTGTAACTGACATTACCTGAAGTTATATTTTACCAGCAAATCAATTAACATGCATAATTATATGGCTTTACTTGTCAGGTTGGGTGTCAAACATACTGGTAATCAACGATTTTTACCTCAGGCTAACTGCCGTTGTGTAATAAAAACTTTGTGTATATATTGGGTTACTTCCCTTGATTTATCCTGTTTAAAGTTACTTTCCTTTAAATAATTTAAATTTTTAAAAGAATATAAATAAAATATAAATTGATCAAATAATCATAAAAGGATGGTAATTAAATGATTTTAAATGTCTTAGGAAATGTCATATAATTATGCATGTTAATTGATTTACTGGTAAAATATAACTTCAGGTAATGTCAAATAATAATTTTCAAATAATAATTTGAAAATTATTTGAGGGTTCTATACTTTCTTTCAAGGCTTAAATTGAATTTATATAATAACTATGACCTTCTGATTAATCAAACACCGACCGTGCAAGGGCTGTATAGCCAGTCAAGGTCGTTAAAAACTTCCATTTGTTGTATTAATCAAATAAAATCTAATTGCAAATGCAGATAGGTAAACAAATGATCTGATGACAATGTTTGTTCTAAAGAATAACGATATAAAAGATATGAATTGAAAAATTTAAAGAACATACTAAAAAAAAAGAATGTTAGATTGAACATGTAGAATATAAAGATAAAGAAACTTTATAAGTACAAGGGTACTATAAACTTAATACATAATACATTCGGATTGAAAGTTGAAGAAAACATATTTAAAAGACAATTTTTACAGCACACTGTTACATTTACGACAAAATTTATGTCGATTAAAAACCTCCTGATCTGAGTCCTAATCTCCTGACCAAAATTTCCCAATCTCCTGATCTGAGTTTCACAGTCCATCACATGTATGCATAATCTTCCAACATGACATGAGCAATTATCTTAAATATGACTTACATATCATTAGCACTAGATGTTACAGTTTGAGGCACATGTGTTGCTGGTATATCATTTGTTCCAGTTCTTATTGTGTTTGTGTTTCCAGGAGGAGCAGCAGCACCATCCTTTACAGCTTCTAATCTATGACCAATACCACATCCAGCTTCTGTCAAACTGTACCTTGAATATAATTTTTGATATGTTCCATTTACCTTATGAATACTTACATTAGAGCTTTTTCATTATATGTAACATGTCCTTTATTGGAAGATAATTGGTTTAGTAAAGTTTTGGTATTTGTGTATTCAAACCTTTAAAATCATTGAAAAGGACTATGGAAAATTATTTAACAATTGGTTGAATTTTCCAAGATGCCAATTTCTGTTTAATATTACTGACATGAATAAGAACATTATTTTTCTTTTTGAATTTCAAATATTCTTTAACAGTGTTCTAGCTCTTTTTTTGAAGAACCACAGTATTTTGAAAATGTTTATGTTTACAGGACATATATCAAATAATTATCTAAATTACTATGATATACTTTTGAATTTTCTTTCAGAATAAGTTTATCATTATTTTAAAACGTGAATGAAAGGATATGTTGATCATTCTAATTCTGTTCACACTATTTGTAATAATAATAAAAAATGCTGACCATGCTATAAAGATTTCATTGCTTCCTTTTTTTCAGATTGCTTACTTAGCTGGATTACTTTCTTTTACAACAAGTCCTTTGTTGATGAGGCTTCCCATTGATGACCATGCTGTGTATCTACAACTTGGATCTGGCTGAAATGAAATTCAAATTTCTACAGCTCCATTTTAGTTGGAAGGTAAAAGAGCATTCACTGTATTTTTTGAAACCTTTTTTCTTTACTAGTAATACTTAAAGAGTTAAAACGTATTTTTTATCAAATTGTAAATATGTAAATACAAACAAAATATCTTTGATTTGAATGCCCATATGGACATATCAATTTAACAAGCATAAAATTAATTCAATTACTTATAAACTAATTTATTACTTACGATCTAATTTATTACTTACAATAGAGAAAGACTTGTCAGCTAAGGGCTGTGCCTGTCTAATCAGGTCTGCCTTTGACATGTATGGTCTATCAGCATCTGACTGGTATAAAAAATAATCTGCATTAAACAAATTAATGAGTTATTCTGATTTTACACACACATAAATTTTTGCAAAAAAAAAACATTGTCACTTGTCAGTCAGAGCTCTGACATAAACAAGTCAGAATAAAATGACTTCTTCAAGTCAAAAAGTGTTTTGAAATTCTGACCTGTACGCGTCAATTTTTGTTTTGCGTAGTTTTCACTCGAGTCCGTCAAACCAGAAGTTCTTATGAATTTGCCGCCTATCTACGACACATACGATCACATGGTTTTTTGCGAGAGATCACGTGTTTGAGAGTCGTTGTTTTGGAAGTGTCTCGAACGAGAAGTCATTGAATATTATATTGATTATTTACGATTTTTAGTGAAAATCTTGGTCATTGTGGGCATTTCTAGAAAGGTAATTCATATTACCTCAATATTTTCATGGGCATTTTTATATTTTTTGCCTATAAAGAAGTTCCTTGCAAGTGATTTTTTTGCTGTTTCATGAAGGCGTGTGACCTGTAAATACGGACGCGTGATCTTTGAGATAACCTGGTGTATGACAATTCTGACTTGTTCAGGTCAGAAAATGTTGTTATGATAATGAATTGTTATTTTCGGGAGATAACTCGTGTTGTCTTAAACAATATTAACATTACCAACCAGTCAGTGCAATTTAAAAAGTAAAATTATTGCTTCGAGCTGAACATCGTCATGTGATTTTTCTATTTTTAAACTCAATCACGAATTGATTTTTTAACCTTTCTGATTCGTTTCTCCCAATGAGAAAAACAATCATTGTGAATATTGATATGATGATAAGGAAACGAAAATGGGAATAATTTTAATAAAAAGAAAAAGGAAGGGAGGGGTTTAACTAAAGAACCCAAGTTTTTTTTTTATTTTTAAAATGATTATAACTTGAGAACAATAAGTGATGCACACACCGGGTCTTCAGTTATGTCTTATGATCATGGGGCATGATAAAACAAATCAAATGAAATGTAGGGCAAGTCTCCAGGAATCACCCCTATCCCTGTCATTTCTCTATTCCTCTTTATAATGTCAAATTGATTTGAATGAAATACACCGGGCTAGTCTCCAGGTTTACCCCCACCCCCTGCCATTTGTGAATGTTCTTATATTTTGTAAATGGTAGAGATCCCAACCCCTAAACCATATATATTCTTGTATGGGACAATTTAACAAATCAAATGATATGTTGGGGAGGTCCCTGGGGGTCACGCCCTACCCCTCCTGTTTGAAAACTTGTAAACGGTCGAGATCCCCACCCCTAAACCATATATATATTCTTGAATGGGACAATAAAACAAATCAAATGAAATATAGGGGAAGTCCCTGGGGGTCACCCCCACCCCCTCCTGTGTGAAAACTTGTAAACGGTCGAGATCCCCACCCCTTAACCATATATATTCTTGTAAGGGACAATAAGACAAATCAAATGAAATAAAGGTGAAGTCCCTGAAGGTCACCCCACCCCTTTATGTTTGAAAACTTGTAAACGGTCGAGATCCCCACCCCTTAACCATATATATTCTTGCACAGGACAATAAAACAAATCAAATGAAATATAGGGGAAGTCCATGGGGGTCATCCCCATCCCCCTTTTGAAATGGTCTGGATCACCACCCCTTAAGGTAAACCATATAATATTCCTGTTCGTCATTTCAAGAAGATTTGAATGACATGCAAGGTCAATCCCTAGGCGTCACTTATGCATATCACTTTACTAGACAAAACCAATTTGTACTGAAACTTGCCCAATGTCAGGCGACCATGGGAATGACGAATTATGGGAGATTTGTTTGGGAGACTTCGTAACAGCATCCTGTAACAATTATTTCTTGTTTATTTTAATCTGCTGAGAGACCACCTTTACATATTATATTTATCAGTGTTTGTGCAAACAGAATTGTCTATTCAGTATTATTTTCCTCTCACATGCATCACATCTTATTAATTACATGGCATATTTGTTTTCCTCTGAAATTGCACATCTATAATTCTTACCCCAGATGCTTAGCCACATGAAGCATTTACCTCTTATTTGAGATATTGATAGTCTTTGTTTCTACAGAAGTGAGAAGAATATTGGAAGTTAGAATGTTCTGACTTATAAAAGTCTGAATGTTCTGACTTATAAAAGTCTGAATGTTCTGACTTAATAAGGTCAGAAAGACTCAGAATGATCTGAAGATACTGATTTTTTTTTTAATGTTTAGAGTATTTCAGAATATGAATGCACTTGTCATGCTAGTACCATAAGAAACCCTGACAAGATTTTGTTCCCAAACAACAATTTTTAAAGATATGAAGAATAACAAGTGTACAATGGAACATAAATTACAAAGTTATAAGTGTTGTGAAAAAAGCTATTTAAAAAAAACCAATAGATAGTTATCTTTCAACTTTTACATGTATTTAAAAAACAGTGAAAATATTATGGATTATATGTACGGCTTCTTGAAGGACAACAAAGTCACCAAATTTGGTCTGAATTTGTATATTTTTTCTCCTCGACATTGTTTTAACATTAATAATGTCGGCTTTTTTCTTAACTAATTTTAAACATTCTTAATTATAATTAAATTTCCCCAACATTTTGCTTACAAACTCTTTAATTTCTAAAGTAAAATTGAAAGTTGTCTTCACAGATTCAATGTGTCTGAAAATGTTATATTGAAAAAACAATACTTTTATATCCTCAAATAAAATGGGCATACCATGAGTTTAATGGTCATGCAGATATGCAATCCAGGATGTTAACAATCAGAGTTTAGATTACAGTCATATAGTAATAGGCAGAGTTTTTCTCATATAATCAATAACCAGAGTAAAGATAATTGATAAATAGAGGTTTAGTTTAATATAAGTAATAAACAAAGTTAATTAATAGACTTGCAATCATGTAGTTAAATAAGTAAATACAGAATATTCATACAAAATTCAGACAGAAATACTGTAAAAGGTCAGGTCATTAGGGACGACATCAAAAGTTTAATGTAGGATAAAAAAACTTAATTCACATAATTTTTTCACTGACCCCCCCCCCCCCCTCTTAACTTAATTTGGGAAAAATTGATTGACCAATATGGATTTCTGTAAAATCGATTTGTGGATAAAAAAAACTTGCAGCAATTTTAACCCCACCCCCAAACTATTTGATTTAAGTTTTTTTATCCTACATTGATCTTTTGATGTCGTCCCTTAGAATGTGATGACTTTGTACATGTTGTAGTGATAGTTATGGCACCCATACAACTTATAGGAATCAGTCAAAAGGAGAGAAAAATTCCCGAAATTTGTCACATAGTGACATTTGTGAGTCGGAATAACAAAATATAGACTCATTAATCTCTCCATCTTTTCAAAAATTATGAACCAGATTTTATGCATATCCATTTAGTTTTTGACAGACTCTTTTAAGTCAGAACATGATTTGACCTGTTTGAGTCAGTTTGAAGAACAAAATTTCTGATCAAAGCTGGGTGTTCTTCCTCTTAGCCCCCTTCTGAATCTGCCACTGTTGAGTTTATTAATTGATTTTTCCATACATTATCATTACTATCAAATGGCAATGCCTGACTTAATAATTTCAATAAATTTAGTTTTTGACTGATTTTTTAAAGTCAGAACATGACTTGACCTGTTTAAGTCAATTTGCAGAACAAAATTTCCAATCAAAGCTAGGTGTACTTCCTTTAAGCCCTGCTTCTGGATCTGCCATTTTTGAGTTTATTATTTGATAAATTTTTAGAAACAATTAAGTCAAATGGTTATTTATTTTAGGGGATCTTACATATATTTGTCTTTTATCTGACGTTCCCGTACATTCATTAAATATCATATGGCAATGCCCGGCTTAAACATTTCAATAAATTTATTTTAGTTTTGGACTGACTCTTTTAAGTCAGAACATGATTTGACCTGTTTAAAACAAAATACATTTAATATTGAATATACCAAATAAACTTTTTTATAGTCCTCATTATTGTGCTTTATGGGGACCTTATTTCCTCAGTCTATTATCTGGCTTACCCATACATTTTTAAATCAATATGACAATACTAGACTTAAAAGTTGTAATACGTTTAGTATGACTGACTCTTTGAAGTCAGAACATAATGTGACTTGTTTGAGTCAGTTTGCACAACAGTATTTACCTCAATGAAATATTAAAACAAGAGTGCACACACTGAAATGTCTCGCCTTCTTTACTAATCATTGATATTATGTTGATAGTCCTAAATATAAAGCTTTATTACAACTGTCACATAAACTTAACATTAACCAAGAAAACTAAACATTGACCAATGAACCATGAAAATGAGGTCAAGGTCAGATGAACCGTGCCAGGCAGAAATGTACAGTTAACAATTCTTCCATATAACAAATATAGTTGACCTATTGCTTATAGTTTAAGAAAAACAGACCAAAACACAAAAACTTAACACTGATCAATGAACCGTGAAAATGAGGTCAAGGTCATATAAAACCTACGTGACTGACATATAGATCATAAAATATTTCCATAAACCAAATATAGTTGACCTATGGCATATAGTATTAGAAAAAAAGACCAAAACTCAAAAACTTAACTTTGACCACTGAACCATGAAAACGAGGTCAAGGTCAGATGACACCTGCTAGCTAGACATGTACACCTTACAATCATTCCATACACCAAATATAGTAGACCTATTGCATACAGTATAAGAAAAGCAGACCAAAACACAAAAACTTAACTATAACCACTGAACCATGAAAATGAGGTCAAGGTCAGATGACACCTGCCAGTTGGACATGTACACCTTACAGTCCTTCCATACACCGAATATACTAGACCTATTGCTTATAGTATCTGAGATATGGACTTGACCACGAAAACTTAACCTTGTTCACTGATCCATGAAATGAGGTCGAGGTCAAGTGAAAACTGTCTGACGGGCATGAGAACCTTGCTAGGTACGCACATACCAAATATAGTTATCCTACTACTTATAATAAGAGAGAATTTAACATTACAAAAAATGTTAACTTTTTTTTCAAGTAGTCACTGAACCATGAAAATGAGGTCAAGGACATTGGACATGTGACTGACGGAAACTTCGTAACATGAGGCATCCATATACAAAGTATGAAGCATCCAGGTCTTCCACCTTCTGAAATATAAAGCTTTTAAGAAGTTAGCTAACGACGCCGCCGCCGCCGCCGCCGCCGGATCACTATCCCTATATCGAGCTTTCTGCGACCAAAAGTCGCAGGCTTGACAATAATAAATATTTTGCTCTTAATAAATTTGGCTTAAAGTGGATGAGAATATATCTTTTATTAACATAGTCTTATCATGAATAAGTGTCTTGTTTTTCCTTGCAAGATTTGATGTATTGTCATGGTACTAGTAAATGTATCCAATATTGTATTTTGTAAATCTTTTGATATTCAGAAAATTGTATGATCCATTTTTAGCTTGACGGTGCCCGAAGGGCCCCATGTGAGCTTATGCCATCACTTGGCGTCCGTCGTCTGTTGCCGTCGTAAACTATTTAAAAAATCTTCTCCTCTGAAACTACTGGGCCAAATACCTTCAAACTTTAACTAAATGATCCTTAGGGTATCTAGTTTATAAATTGTATCCAAAGTTTTGATCCATCGACAAACATGGCCGCCATGGCTAAAAATAGAACATAGGGGTCAAATGCAGTTTTTGGCTTATATCTCAAAAACTAAAGCTTTTAGAGCAAATCTGACATGGGGTAAAATTGTTCAATTGGTCAATATCTATCAGCTCTGAAATTTTCAGATGAATGGAACAACCCAACAATGGGTTGCTGCCACCGAATTGGTAGTTTTAACAAAATTTTGCAGTTTTTTGTTATTATTTTGAATATTATTATAGATATATATAAACTGTAAGCAGCAATAATGTTCAGCAAAGTAAGATCTACAAAAAAATTAATATGACCATAATTGTCAATTGACCCCTTAAGGAGTTATTGCCCTTTAAAGACAATTTTACACAATTTGTTCATCAAGTTTGCTAACATTTAAAAATCTTCTTCTCTGAAACTACTGGGCCAATTACCTTCAAACTTTAACTAAATGTTCCTTAGGGTATCTTGTTTATAAATTGTATCCGAAATTTGTATCCATCGACAAACATGGCCGCCATGGCTAAAAATAGAACACAAGGGGTCAAATGCAGTTTTTGGCTTATATCTCAAAAACTAAAGCTTTTAGAGCAAATCTGACATGGGGTAAAATTGTTCAATTGGTCAATATCTATCAGCTCTGAAATTTTCAGATGAATCGAACAACCCAACAATGGGTTGCTGCCACTGAATTGGTAGTTTTAACAAAATTTTGCAGTTTTTTGTTATTATTTTGAATATTATTATTAGGATACTTATATGTAATATAAGTATTGTTTATACAAACAATATTTGCAGCCAACTTTGATAATTAATCTTTCCAGTAAACATGCTGACATTTTGGATACATTTAATTAACATACACAGACCATTTGCTACATCTTGAGATTAATTTCTCTGGCTTTTGACACTTTGAAGTTACACTGCAATCTCATCAGGGGACATACTAATCTATTCTTAATCAGATACATGTTACAATCATTCACTGTATGTGATGAAAGGCAGAATTATTTCAGTCTCATAGAATAATTACACATTAATTAGTATATATAAACTGATGGTCAGTTATTTCAGTCTCCTCCCACTAGATGATTGATGTACCCAAAATCTGTGTGTTAAGCCATATGCATGGTCTTTGTGCAATCAGTTTCTTGGTTCAAAGCAGTCAAACTAAGTTCAACTTGACAGTTTTACAGTGCTAGAATTCAATTTACCACCCACCAACCCCTTCCAAACACCTTCAATAATGATCATGACATGAGGAACATCTCAGCTTTTACCAGTGACATTTTTTACTTCATTACCTGTTTTCCTTGATGGAATTTTATCACTAAAATTTCATTCATCCCCAAGCATTTCGGGGACTTTTATCAAATTTATTCCAGCGCCAGATTGATAGACCCTGCTACTTACTACTTGTAATAGCACCACATGGGCTATCCCCCATGCAGACCTTGCACACCCCGGCTGCAGATGAGACGCCTAGTTTCATCCCCTTAGTGGAGAACCCTCGCTTCACATTCCCGGCTGGCGTATTGTCGGGCAGGCAGGTTCTTCCTCACACTACAGGTTGCAATTTGACTTGCTCAGCAGGAACTCCTAAATTCTTAATTATGCTGAGTGTTTCTCAAGGGCCAAAATATTTTGTTATTGAATTTATTGTATAAATAAATATTATTCATTCAAAATTCTGTCTGCTTTGAGCCAGTATGATTTATTGGGACTATGTTTTGGTTTTCACACAGATACCCCCTTTATCACTTAAGCTGACATTTCATTATTAGGGAGTTGGTTTAGATTCACAATGCTCAATTTCACTGATGGTGAGTTTATAAAATTTTGACTTTTTTACAATTTACTTTTGACTTAAAACTCACCATTGGGGACTTTGTGGGTTGTGATATTATATTGGAGTCTGGCTATCAAGAGAGTTACATCAGAAGTAAGAAAACATTGGATCTATGAGAATTTGTTTCATTACCATACAAACAGAAAATTATATGCAAATTTAAATACCAGGAGACAATAACAGATAAAACACCACCAATAAAAAAAGTATGGTTACATGATGGGACAACAATTAACACAGCAAAAAATTTACACCATTTACACAACTACAAGGACAATTTTGATTGTATAAAAGATATATATAAACTGTAAGCAGCAATAATGTTCAGCAAAGTAAGATCTACAAAAAAATTAATATGACCATAATTGTCAATTGACCCCTTAAGGAGTTATTGCCCTTTAAAGACAATTTTACACAATTTGTTCATCAAGTTTGCTAACATTTAAAAATCTTCTCCTCTGAAACTACTGGGCCAATTAACTTCAAACTTTAACTAAATGTTCCTTAGGGTATCTTGTTTATAAATTGTATCCGAAATTTGTATCCATCGACAAACATTGCCGCCATGGCTAAAAATAGAACACAAGGGTCAAATGCAGTTTTTGGCTTATATCTCAAAAACTAAATCTTTTAGAGCAAATGTGACAGGGGTAAAATTGTTTAATTGGTCAAGATCTATCTGCCCTGAAATTTTCAGACGAATCGAACAACCCATTGTTGACCCCTTAAGGAGTTATTGCCCTTTAAAGACAATTTTACACAATTTGTTCATCAAGTTTGCTAACATTTAAAAGTCTTCTCCTCTGAAATACAGGTGAGCGATTCAGGCTCTTGAGAGCCTCTTGTTTCTCACCTGGTTTTTGTTTGTATTTTGAAATAATTGAATGTGATGAGATAAATATATTATGTTTAGATTCTGGAAAGGAGAAGGTATGATGTCAGATGAGCCCCACTTTTTAAAACTCTTTAATTCGAAACTAGTAATCACCATATTTTTATGGATATTGATAACAAAGTGGTAGTAATGACTGCTTCAAATCAGAACAAAAATGACCTCTCTAAGTCAAAATGCATTAAAAAGGGGCATAAATCTTATTAGAATATGAAGATATTAAGTCACAATATTTTGTGCAAAAGCTGACCCGTGGAAGTCATTTTATGATAAATTAAAGTCTGACATAAACTGACCTGTACAAGTCATATTCTGTTGAGTGCAAGAAGGGAGACAACACTTACATCAAATTATATCTGACCTATGGAAGTCATTTTATTCTGACTTGTTTATGTCAGAGCTCTGACTGCTTGTTGAGGATGCTGAAGAAATAAACTATGTTATTCAACAAAAAGCATTACTTTGTAAAAATGACAAAAATCCTGAAGAGAAGACTTCCAACAATTTGTAACATTTGACATATATATAACAAACTGTATATTTTAAAATGTGTACATTTTAAAAGTATGACCACTGAATATAACGCTTTGACATTTATTTACCTGTGAATGTTTATACAGGGTAAGTAACAGAGCATAAGGTCCTGATCTGTAAGCTGGTATATATTCTCTTCCTCCTCCTCCACCTTGGTTACCAGATTTTTGTCTTTTCTAAAGGAATTGTAAGAATTCATTACTAAAATCTATATTATCAAATAAAAAAAAATAGGTCAAAGTCTCAAATGGCCGTGCTGCAATATTTGTGACTAAGTTTTGCTGAAAAATGACTAAGTTTCAAAGTCTAGAAAAATGAGAAAAAAATTGATAGAACAATTCCATAATAGCAAGTGCACAATTCAAACATATGTGCAATCTTCATGTAAAGTTTCAGGGATCTGGGTTGAAAACTGTAGGATGAGTTGATTACACAAAACTTTTACATTCTTTCATAAATTTTGCTGAAAAAAGACAAAGTTCCCAAGTCAAGAAAAATGTGAAAAAAATCCTTAAACAATTCCATCATGAAAGGTCAACAAATGTGCAATCTTCTTGTGAAGTTTCAGGGCTCTAGGTTGAAAACTGTCATAGGAGTTGATTACACATATTTTTTTTTTCCTAAGGGAGATTTAGAGGTTGATATTTGGGATGAGTGTCTTCTGAGGACTGCATGTTGACCTCTAAATGTCTAAACCCCACATTTGCATTTATCCAAAATTTTGAGTTTTTTTCTAGATTGAATGGTCATCAAGTCAAAACTCATACATTTTCTTTTCAAAATTGTAGATACAAATGTTTTTTAGGGTTGTTTGTTGAAAGATTGTCATAATTTTATGTTAAAAATCTAATAACTAAATATCAAATTGTAAGAAATCCTTTAGAAAACTACCACTAATTTAATCCTTAGTGACACCGAATTAGTTGCTTTTATTTTGACATAGGTAAATTTTGACAAAGATAACAAAGTTATTAATGTATTTCATTAAGATTCTTTATGTTCATATTTAATATGAATGTATGTAGAAGAGCTTAAACACAAAATACCCTGGGAACAGGTGCCTGCTCTTCATCATCATTTTCTGATTCTGCAGAGAAAAATCTATGATCCTGTTCTGTCTTTGCAATTTGTTTCTTTTGGGTCTTTTTCTGTTTTGGTGCTTCATCTTCAGTCATCAAAAATGGTGCATTATCAGCAGAACCTGTTATCAAAAGTTTGCATGATTTAGGATTTTCTATTAATCAAAGTCGATACTCACAGTTTTTTAAATAAGTTACTGTATTAACTAAATTTTTGTTTTAATTAAACATCTTTGTCATGTATGAAAGGTTTTAATCTATCTTGGTATTGCTGCCATATCATACTTAACTCTAAGTGATTATTAAAATTTCAGTGTCAGACGAAAAAGTTCACAAAAAAGATTTTTCAATCTGATATTTTATATGTAGATACAACACAATTCCAATGATCAATGGTCTAAAATTCTGCTTAGTAATTATCCATAAAGACACATAACCTGAATCATTTTGCATTCTAATATTGAATATCAATTGTCTATCCAGAGAAGAAAAAAAAAGAAAAAATAATATCATGAGACATGAAAGAGGATTTGAAAGTGAAAGATAAATAACTCCTTTCACTCACCATATTCAGCAATGTGTTTTGATAGTTTAACATCCAACATCTTGCATATTTTGTCTCCTGAAAAAGAAAATTTAAAATCTCGCAATTTAAAAAAAAATATTTAGAAAATATGTAAACCAAATTGAATTATAATTTTTTTTTAATAAATTCTATGGGACTTTTGCCAAATTTTATGAGTTTATTTGAATAACGATAATAAAACTGCTTCTCTCACAAGATAAAAACTCCTGAAAAATATTTCACAGGCTTAATCTATTCAAACTTGAATAAATCTTTCATTCAGAATTACACAATAAGAATCAAATGTCTTCTTGAGATGCAATAACTAAAAATATTATACTGTCCCTCAGACATTTTGGAGTAAACTGTTTTGTGAAAATAACATATGATCTGTTTATTAACTGTTTTGTTTTGGGGTTTTGGCAAATAAATTATCATTTCCAAATGGAATTATGAGAACAGGTTTATGCAATAGGAATATGAACCCTACTTTGTTCTAGACTAACACTCTGAGCTAGATTTTCAACATGCCAGATTTTGCCCTTACTCCTTCATGAATAATTTTTAACAAAGAAGCAGCAAATACCAATTTTAAAGACTTTCGTTTGACCAGGCTAGGTAAAGATTTGATATATTTCAACTTCATTTATGCCTATAACAACAACAAATGTTGATAAAAAGCTAAACATTGCTAAATTCTTGACATATGATGTAATATGAACAGCTGCATGTTGAACTCTTGAAGTCTATTTTTGCATTACTGTTGTAGAGTTGCTCTCTCAATGACATTCAACCAATATTGACTTTTATTTTAACATTTTGCACATTCTCAAAAAGTCAAACTTGTGACATATTACAAAAAGTAATATCTTCTATATAGTGTTGTAGGATAATACAAACCAAAATATTCCAACATTTTACAATCCTTTCCTGATGCTATTGGTAAGGGATAATTCCTTAATGATTTCAATGCCTGAAAACAAAGGTAATGTTTGTCATGGGAAAATTGCATACATACAATTCTTAAAAGTAAAAGTTCATATAAGTCTTTCATTATATATCACTAATTCCATTATTATTTTCATCATGAAAGCCAATTAATTTGTAATATTATAAGTTAAGCAAACAAGTATAATAATGCTAATTTAAACTAATTTTTGACCACATTTTTGATAAAAGCATGCATGTACATGTACCATGTGAAAGTATCTGGATCATATTTGTTGTAGTTTGTATGTCTGTTTCCTAGGATGTTGGTGTGGTCTGTTGTACTGTTCAATATTTTAGGTAATTCTTGTTATCTTTTGTGTGTATTATGTAAGAACACAATATATATATACACAATTGTTTATAAACTGCATCACCATGGGCATCAGCAGCCAATCCATTATCTACCTGTGTAGTTCAGGTCAGCCTATCCCCGCTATAGTAGGCTTCTTATGTTACTTAGACATATATTAAAATGAAAAAGTACACAGCATTTACTAAACTTGCAGTGATGTGGTTTTTTTTGGTCCGTGTTGAAGGCCTCACAGTAACTTTAAAATGAAGAACAGCAATAAAAGTGCTGTTTCTTTGCTTTTCGTGTCTTTTGCTGTGCATGTCCTGATTTTGTGTCATGAATGGATACCCCATATCCTTTCTTATTATGATATAACAGTTAGGAATTTAGTTGCCAAACAATCATTTGATAGTTCTCTGTACAGAAATTTCAGTTTCTTCCACCTATCAAAATGGAACAGGAAATTTTATATGATTCAGATTGTCTAGAATATGTTGTGTTCAATTCCTAACAAACAAGCACATAAACAGTTGATCGATCATTAATATAAATTCCAATAAGGACCAGGGGAAAATCATTTCCATAATACATTATTTACATGAAGCAAAGACTCTCAAAAGCGAAAATATATATTGCTTTTAAACTATCTGGAACTCTTTTTATATTTTACCTTAGCATAAACAAACTGTGTCTTAATTCCTTTTTCTGTAGCATCATCTTTCCATTCTTGTAACCAATAGGCAAATAATGGATTTGGACAAACAGGTTTTGTCTTTTTCCTTTTACCATACAATGGGTGTCTCTCCATTTTCTTTGTCTAAAATCAAATTAATCTTTAAGAGTTCCATCTGGAGCTTTTCTACTTAAAAAAAACTTGAAAATAGCCTCCATATGGAATTCTTACTAACAGATTGGACAGTTCAGTAGCCAGAAGTTATTAAATGGTCAATTTATATAATTCACATGGAAGGATGCACTTCTATCACTTTTTATCAAAGTAGTTGCTTCAATGTACATTGTAGATTAACCTTAATTCATGCATCTAACATTGTCTAACACTTACTATTCTTCAAGAAAACTGGTACATATAATTGCACAATTTTAAATATTGATATTTATCCTTTCTATTAACTTCTCAGTAAATGAAACCTACATGTTACTAAGCTTTGATTCCACTTTAACAGATTGGGCACAACAAGCAAATGATTAATTTATATCCTTCAAATAAGAGAGGGAAATTTTTCACCAGATTTAGTCATTTTTTGGGACTAAAAAGTCTGTTTTTTTTTATCTATCTCAAATTCATCATGTTCATACCAAAGTCACAACATAAACAAATTGGTACAGTTTTAGTAATTTTACAACCTATTAAAACAACCTGAAATTTGTATCTGTAAAAACTTTAAGAACGATTTCTGGCATGCAACAGTTTGGAAATATTGAAGTGATTTTAATATAACTTAAAAACTGGAAGGTATCATCATAATCATGCTACTTTCAATTTTGAGAAACCAGACGTTTCATGTTTTATTCATAAATTTGGAATGAATTTTGATTTGAGATATGGAGTTGCTTCTGACAGCACAAATAAAAAACAACTAACAAAAAACAATAGACACAATTAATTTAGCATCAATGTAAACATAAATAAGAAGATGTGGTATGAGTGCCAATGAGACAACTCTCCATCCAAGTCACAATGTATAAAAAGTAAACAATTATAGGTCAAAGTACAGCCTTCAACACGGAGCCTCGGCTCACACCGAACAGCAAGCTATAAAGGGCCCCAAAATGACTTGTGTAAAACAATTCAAACAGGAAAACCAACGGTTTAATCTATATAAAAAACAAAAAACACTGAAGAACCACACCAACAAATGACAACCACTGAACAACAGGCTCCTGACTTCACCCATTTATCAAGTTGGGGACGATCCTCATAATGGGTACTTTTCCAACTACCCACTTTTGGATTATTATACCCAAAGTCGATATCATTTTACATTGATAAAAAAATTAATTTCGTATTTCATCATAATCATGGTAATGGCTGTCATCCAGCAAACATTCATTATGTTCATATAAATAGCAACATTTTTCCCTTTAAGATCATAGCTAGTTCAAATGAATACAAAGAAGTAACATAACTTTCTAATTTGTGCACTTTCACAAAATTCCTGTCACATCATGCACATTATGCTGAAGTTATTACATCACAGTAAGAATCGACTGTTTGAGGACGTCATTTACACCAATTGACCTAGGGTGTATCTCATTCATAAAAAAAAAACTTGAGATTGGTGTATGGCCTACAAAAATTCTTATTTAGAGCCGTAAATATAACTTTTGTCCAGATGTTATTTTTGTCATGGTGTCTTTTGAGTGAAATGTTGTCATTTAATTGAATGTTTGTGCCATAACTGCAAATATCTTGAAATCCAAAGTTTATATTTTTATCACTGGAAATTGGTACCTGATTTGGGGTATAATACTCATAAATGGGGATAATACCCATCAGCGGGTCTCATTGGGGTCTATGTGTGACACAGGATTGACTGATATTTTGTAAGCGTGACATGTGAAAGTCAAATTATTGTGTGTGAAAACGGGAAGCGAAGTCGTGACACGTGAAATTACAACTGTTATTATTACAATGGTAAGCGGGATACGGGAATCTGACAAAACAATAAGCGTGATCCCAGATCAGAACCCCCCATTTAAATACACCTTATTGCTATTTGTCCGCAATTACTGGACATCACAAAGGTTCAAGTTAAATTTTGACGTCATAATAGAAAACATCTGAAGCCACAATGAAAAAGTGATTGTTGTATGACGTCAATATTCCAAGAGGCGCAGATTTCCAAATAGTGATAAGCTAGGTCAATGAAGATCTTCAACACAAAACCTATAAAAAGGGTGCGAACTTGAATGGGGACGAACGTGAATGTGATCACCCTGTAACATGGAAATGCGAAGGTGTATGCTGAGATGATTGTGACATATGGCATCATAGATCATGCATCGAATTATGCACAGCTGACTATGAACTACTAGAAAGATCTAATGTTCAATGGCTTTGCTGTAAATGTGATAGCATTAATGTATCATCCTTTACATTTCATAAATACAGGCTTAATACTACCAACTATTATGAACCACTTTCACATAACATCACGTTTGAATCCATATCATCAAGCATATTCAGCCCTTTGAAAGCCAGCAGCCCCAAAATGAGAACAAATTCAAAAACCAGTCAGAACACAACAAATAAGAGCAGAACAGAAAGCAAAAACATCTTCAACCTACCAGAAAAACAAAACCTACGAATACTAACTATTAACTGTAGGAGCATAAAAAACAAAACATCAGAATTCAAGGCAGCAGTCAATTACATATTACCCGACATAATTTGTGGAATGGAATCATGGTTAAAAGGAGAAAAGCCTGGGAAAAATCCAACAAAAGACGCAATAAAATCAAGCGAAGTATTCCCAGAAGGTTATACAGCATATAGAAATGACAGGGGAACGCTTGGAGGAGTCTTTATATTAGTCCATAATGACATCATAACTGTAGAACAAACTGAACTTGTTACAAACTGAGAAATTAAATGGGTTAAAATACAACTTAAAGGGAAAAAAGAACTACTCATCGGCTCATTCTACATGCCACAAAGGAACATGAAATGTGTAGAAGAATTAGAAAAATCACTGAACATCATGCAATAGCCAGAAATACCAACATCATGTTAACAGGAGACTTTAACTGTTCAGATATTAACTGGGAAACATCAACAGTTAACTCAAACGCAAACGATAAAGAAATCCAAAACAAAATTATGGAACTATAACAGCCACATTCCAACTAACTCAAATACATGAACTACCAGCAAGAAAAAACAACCTCCTTGATTTAGTATTCACCACCAATCCATCTTTAGTTAAAACATCAAAAAACGCACCAGGCATATCAGATCATGAAATGGTGATAACAGACTGCGACACTAAGCCATACTATCAACGCAGCAAACCAAGAAAATGCTATATCTACTCATAGGCAAATTGGGAAAAACTAAATGAAGACACCTCTAAAACATCAACAAGAATTAAACAGATGTACACACAAGGTTCAAATGTCAAAGAAATGAGTGACACGTTCAAGAAAGAGTTATTCCAAAGCATGGACAAACATATACCATCTAAAGAAATCTGCTCAAAAAACAGCCTTCCCTGGATAACACACAAAATAAGGAAGATGTTCAAAAAGAAAAGCAGATTATACCAGCAAGCTAAAAGAACAAAAAATTGGTCAAACTACAGGCACTTCCAAAAAGAAGTCAAAAGTCAAATTAGGAAAGCAAAATGGTCATATATCAACGACACCATACTAAAGGGCCTAGAAACAAACAATACCAAGCCATTCTGGAAATACATCAAATCCAGAAAAAATGACAACATTGGAGTAGCCCCATTAAAAAACAAAGAGAAACTCATCAGCGACAGCAAAGGGATAGCTGAAATACTATTACAACAATTCAAATCGGTCTTCACAATAGATAAATCCACAAAAATATCAGACACAACAAAACATATTGAGGAATCTATACCAAACCTCATAATAACAGAAAAGGGACTAGAAAAACTGCTGAAAGATGTCAACCCATCAAAAGCCTCTGGACTAGATGGATTTCCAAACAGAATTTTGAAAGAATGTGCAAGTCAAATTACACCAGGACTGACAGCAATCTTCCAAAAATCTATAGACACTGGAACCCTTCCACAAGACTGGCTTAATGCAAACATATCATGCATTTTCAAAAAAGGCGATAAACATGCTGCTGAGAATTACAGACCTGTATCGTTAATATCAGTACCATGTAACATGTGTAAGATCCTGGAACATATAATATGCAGGCATATAATGAAACATCTAGAAAAGCATGATGGGTTAACATCTTTAAGCCATGGTTTTAGATCCGGTTACTCATGTGAAACCCAACTACTTGTCACTATGAACGACTTCATGAAAGCATATGATGCCGGACTACAAACCGATATTGCCATACTAGATTTCTCAAAGGCTTTCGACACAGTACCCCATAAGAAACTACTATCAAAAATGGGAGATTATGGAATTCGTGGGCCAATAAACAACTAGCTGAATATGTTTTTGACAAACAGGAAAATGAAAGTGGTAGTGGAAGGAGAACAATCAGAAGAAGTAACAGTGGACTCTGGAGTCCCGCAAGGCACAGTCCTAGGACCGTTGCTATTCCTTTGCCATATAAATGACCTCCCAGATGCAGTCAAATCTTCAGTCAGACTTTTCGCTGATGACTGCCTTTTTTTCAGAACAGTGAAATCTCAGAAAGACCACACCATACTTCAAGAAGACCTCAAAAACCTAGAAGTATGGGCAGAAAAATGGGGAATGCGGTTCAATGCCAAAAAATGCTACATCCTAAGCATCAGAAACAAGAGCCATAAATTCTACAGTTTAAATGGACACATACTTCAGCAAGTCCAGCATAACCCGTACCTAGGCCTACAAATTTCAGAGGACCTCAAATGGACCACCCACATATCAAACGTGGCAAAGAAAGCAAATTCAACACTAGGCTTTCTAAGAAGAAACTTGAAATACTGCACACAAGATTGTAAAAAAACAGCTTACATCTCGCTCGTCAGATCAACGATGGAATATGGAGCCATAGTATGGGACCCCTACACGGTAACTAACATAAATAAGCTTAAAAGGATACAACGTCAAGCTGCAAGATTTATCACCAGGGATTACAAGTCAAGAGAGGACGGATGTGTCTCTAAAATGCTTGCCCAACTGGAACTACAAGATCTCCAGACAAGATGAACAAGCCAGAAGTTAATATTTATGTACAAACTGGTTGTGGAGGTTAAAAGTATGATATTTACACTAATATAAGCAAACACGTCTGTTCAGCCATAACTTTTTTTTTTTTTTTTAACGATAACAAATATTTTTATTCAATCATTTCCTGATATATAAATACCTAAGTAGCCCAGGTCGCATACTTAGGGGCCCCTGTATTTTAACAGCCTCACTTGACCAGGGAAAAAATCAAATGAATTTAAACTTACAATAGTTTTACATACATATATTTAAATAACCAATACAATCGATTTTACCTGTTAAGCATCACTGTAATACATAATCACTATCGTATATCCGGTTCACTGACTAACATGTGTTTATTTAAACTTGAAAAATATATATTTGATTGCCATAACTTTTAATAACAACTCCTTAGAGCCCACAGCGACGTCCCTCACGGTAGTCGGCGACATGGTCAATGGTAATGTACAAACTCAAGAACATCTTTATCCCGCAATAATCTCGACATAGATTGAGGGGCTGGTTCCCGCTATGGAACCAGACGAATTCCTCAAAAAAGCACATCCGAAATGAACCATACCTGCCAAGAAATTCGAAGAATACCACGCAACAAATATTGTGGAAAAGCAAGTAAAGAATCACTCTAAGTGTTTTGACATTCCACCAAGCAAAACACCACAATATTCAAACTCATTCTTTGTAAAGACAGTGATCGCGTGGAATCAGCTAGACGACACTGTAGTGCGCGCATCAAGCGTAGAGAGCTTCAAATCGGCTCTCACACCCCGTCAATAAATCGGCGGCGCTCTCTTAAACCGTTGTATTAAAGCCAGTATTGGTATCGACAACGGATTCATATTCTCAGATCTGCAGTGACATCACAACATGTAACTGACCAATCAATGATTAGCATTTGTGTTATGTAAACAATGTTGAGAGGTGATGCCAATAAGAATCCTCTAGATTTTCCATAGACTTCAATGCAAATTGATTTAATTGATATATATCGACACCAGTTGAATATAGTAATTTTACTCTTTTAATATTGTTAAAGACACTATACAATATCTCCATTTTGATTTTTATCATACTATATCATCTGGTTAAAAAATAATCGGCAATATAAATAATCAGTAATCACCTTCAAATAGATGAAAAATCTAGAGGATTCCTATTGGCATCACCCCTTGAAAAATTTAAATGCCAGGATGTCCGGATCTGAGAATAGAGAACGTGATTAAATTAGGCGAACGGAACCAGATTCCTTTTTATGGGGAGATTTTTGAATGTCGACTTTGTGTTTCTCACTTTCTGTACACGAAACTAAGCAGCTGATGTACCTTTTAAAATCTGGATATTTATATAGTCTTTCCTACTCCAACTCAGAGTACCCTACCATGAGCTGTGATGTGGGAAATCATAATATGAGGCGGCAAATTTTGAAAATGGCGCCAAAATGCAGTAAATGATACTTTATAATTAGCTATTTATTTTTTTCAATCATCTTACCATAGCTAAACTTTTTTTTCTTAATTTAGTTTTTGTTTCTACAAACATTATCAATTTACGTACTGTAGAATATTTTTTTCACCTGAAATTGTATGCGGTATAGTTTAAAATATCTACTTCCGGAATCAAAAGAATGTTTACATTCACAACAACAACTTGTCTTTAATTTTATTTTTAAAGTCCCACAGAATGTCAACTGTCGACGAAAAGCAGGAGCCCCCTTCTGAGCAGCTAAGGTTAAAATTCTTTTTGTGAATAAATTTAAATATGAGATCTCACAGCAGCAAAAAATAGCAGCCTGGAACAACTGGAACTTTTTTCAATGATGATGACAGATTCAGATTGGTGTTTTTTAAGCATTTTGACACGGTGCACTTTAACAAATGAAAACCTAACTTCACAAATACGATAAAAAAAATCCTAATGCCTTGTTTGCATTAAGAGCCTGTGGTCAGGGATTTTCCTTTGTCCCTTTTAGTGATTTCTGTGTCGGGAGAGATTTTCTGATTGGGCCGTTAAATGAATCCCTTTTCAGCAGGCAGCCAGATCAGAATATAGCTACAGAATTAGAATACCAAAAGTGATTAAGATTTTCTACAGCAATTTTGTCAATCATCCACTCCAGGGCTAATGTGACTTCAATTCTTTCTGTTTTTTGTTTAATTCTATTAATAGTAATAGATACAATTGTAACGGGAGTGTGTTGTCTTTTTCCCTTGTGCCTTTCCCAGTGTTCACTGATATAAGATGATTCAATGGTTTAATTTGTGTTGTTAAAAACATACATGTTTCTGGTTAGGGTGAAGGTTGGCGCCTGTTTAAACATTTAAACCCGCTGCATTTTTATGCACCTGTCCTAAGTCAGGAGCCTGTTGTTCAGTGGTTGTCGTTTATTGGTGTTGTTCATACATGTAAGTGTTTCTTGTTTTTTAAATAGATCAGACCGTTGGTTTTCCTGTTTGAATTGTTTTACACTAGTCTTTTTTGGGCCCTTTATTGCTTGCTGTTAGGTGTGAGCCAAGGCTCCGTGTTGAAGGCCGTACTTTGACCTATAATTGTTTACTTTTTACACATTGTGACTTGGATGGATAGTTATCTCATTGGCACTCATACCACATCTTCTTATTTATATGTATGTATATGAGTATTTAGTTTACATACAATGAATACATTAGTCAAGTTTACTTGTTTCCTTACCTTGTTGGTAAGATATATTAATTTAGCTGAAATATAATAGAATTACAGTAACAGCTAGTGTTGTCCTTATTTTAAAGTGCACTGACCCAGAGCACTTACCTATTTTTATCCCCAATGATGTCATATGCCCTGGCCAGGCTTCTAGGTCACGGGAAATTGCCCTGCCTGGAATAGAAAATGGTGGAACCTACAAGAAATATTATTAAAACTTAGATAAATGTAGAATAAATAGAGAGAAAATTAACCATACCCTTGAAACATGAAAGGATGAACAAGCAAAAGTGACTACTGTCACACAATCATAGTGATTTTCATAAAATAAAACTTAAAACAAAAACATACATTTACACAACAGATATTACATGAGTTCATTTTTTAGTAGCCTATGATGACTCTCAGAATGCGAGACATATATGTAGGGATTACAATCCAGCAGCTGCGGTATAAATTATTTGCATAAAGCATTATATCATACATTGTACCTTGTACACATGTCTTATGTAATGAAGTTTGTCATACATGTACAAAAATGTATGTCCATTGTTCTTGACATCATTTTCACTGTTCAGCAGCTGTTTAAGAAAAAGTCATAGATTTTTTGTCTAGTGAATTTTTCACTTATTTATAGGAGTAATAAGATAACTATTTTTGATATAAAGCATGTAAAGGTTCCTTGCAAGGTCTACATGTCTGTCAGACGGGTTTCATCTGACTTTGACATCATTTCATGGATCATTAATCAATATTAAAGTTATGTGAACAGGTTCATTTCTCAGATACTACAAGAGTAGGTCAACTATATGTACTGTATGGAATGATAGTGAGGTGGACATGTCAGTCTGATTTAGAACAGGCACAAAAACATGTGGCAAAGTCTTTGTGATATTTTTTTAATAATTAGCAGACCATAGAAATGGCACAAATAAAAAAAAAACATAAGGCCCATTAGTTAGTACTGGTTCTGCATTGAAATTAATGCAAACCAGTATTGCAGATGAATGGTAAGATAATGATCTATTATAGATTTTTAAAATTATTTCCCCAGTGTGAAATCTTTAAAATTGATATGTTTTCTTATCTCTAATAATTAAAACATGATAAACATGTATTTCATGATTAATAGAATCATATTTTACTTTTAGTCATGGAAATGAGAAGTGGTTGAATGCTTACTATGATCCAGTGGCATCTCTATATACCTTAACACAATGTGTTGCCTTATCAGATATACAAGCTGATGGTGATTGGAAACTTGTGATTGCTGATTTGGGAACTGGATCCTATGACATGAAATTGAAAGTTTATAAAGGTAACCTGTCCTTCATATTTTTACTGTAATTCCTTTCTATGTATTAGGATAATTTTCTAGTATGAAATATTATTGTAACAATGGGGATTATATATTTCTATTGAACATGTATAGATTTTCTATAATTAATATTTGTGGCATCATTACATCACCATCTATGAAAACAATAAAATAAAAAAGTGTTTCTAAATGCAGCATGATATAAAAGGGCTCCTGTTAAATTAAATGGACTGATGAAACTATACATTTGTACATGTCAACAGTCAATCAGTCTTCTTTTTTATTTTTTATTTGGAAATCTCTCTTGAGGACAAGTTTCACAAAGAAGAAGTTATATTAACACTTACAAAAATCTCGCAATTCCCACTTCACTTTTCAATTTCAAATAATTTAGATAGAAAGGCAGACATTTTCATGAAGAATTGAAAGCAAAAATGCATTTCGACAAATTAATTTTCACAAGGCCATAAAAAAGAATATGTTTGTTTGCCCTAACCCTACCTACCCAGAAAATAGCTGCCTACTCAAAATCTTTTATTGTCCTGATGTGAAAAAGTTTTTTTTTAATCAGATAGGCATGAAGACTAAAAAACATCTGACACTTCAATTTCTCTTTGCCGAAAAACAAAAAAGAAAATGCCTACCTACCTACCCACTGTCTCTACCTCTGGGTAGGGTTTGGGCAAACCAAAATATTTTTAAGTGTGGCCCAATGGTCAAACTTTTATCAACATAATGATGTCTGTGATAAGTGAGGGTCAAAGTTATTAGGACCTGGTCAACGTATTTGATGTCACAAAGCTTTGAAATGCTAATTTATGAAGAGCTGAGCAGAGTGATATAGTAAGAGATATGACCTATAAGAAATAATGCTGTCCTTCACACAATAGTAGTTGTCTTTCTTCATCTAAGACTGCATACAATAATGTCATAAACAGAACCGGTTAGAGAAGATTTTGTGCTATGTGCATTTAAAGTAGTATTTATTTTGGACTGCCAAACACTAATACATGTATACATTCTTATGCTAGAAAAAGAAAGGCAACAGTAGTATACCGCTGTTCAATAGTCATAATTCGATTAAGCAAAAACAAATCCGGGTAACAAACTAAAACCGAGGGAAACACATCAACTATAAGAGGAAAACAACGGGACAACGGAAACACTGAACTACAACAAAAGCAAACGCCAACATACATAGAAATGGACTGTCTGATAACAACAGCTAGAACGATAGATATGGGGGACATGTTTATAAAAACATATGAATAGAAAATAAGAAAAATCATAGCACTGTCATGTCTATCACCCTATGTGCTATTATGCTTCAATACTGACTGTAAAGTTTTGACAGTCTACATGTATGCACCTTCCAAATGTGTGTATTTCATCCACATGCAATTTAATGTGCAGACTTAAAGGATTCACATACTTACAGTAGGGCAATGATCATAACCCAATAGCACTTACATTTTATGTTTAAATAGCATGCCTTATGCTTTTACCTGAATAAAACCTCCTTGGTATAAAACTTGGTATTTTTTCTGTATTTACAGGCACAAATGTGATGAGTGAAAATGCAATCATAGATTTACCCACTGGTGTTGTGACATTTTATATGGATGTGAATGAACCAAGAACTCCAGGTACATATGCATGATATGTTCTTGTACTTCTATACAATACAGGTTCAAGAAAGTCAAGCTTGATTATATCCAGAGTAACAATATATAGCTGTTTATAAATGGTAAATTCAAACCATTTACCATCTATGTTCATAGATTCATTAATTCGTCAGTTTTCAATCTCTTTCATTCAGAAGTATGATATGTATTACCATACATAATCTTCTTGACCTTGTTATTTTAGTAACAGAAGAAACAACATTACATATATACCTATACTGGCAAACAGGTAATATAACATATAAAATTTTGTTAAAGAAATATTGTTAAAATATAAAATGATAAGTTTTTACTTTAGACTTGAAATATTTTGTTATTATGTAATAAACTTATAAACCTTAATATATATTACAGCTGTAGCAGTAGCCTCAGGACCCTACATTTATATTTACAAGAATCTCCATCCATATTTCAAGTTTACCTTGCCAACACTAGATGTAAATCCTGTAGAATTAGACCTCTGGAACCAAGTGAAAGAGGTAAATAGCACAAAATCTATCACAAAGTAATTTATTTAAAGAAGCCACAATTTAGGGACACAGTTATATTTCAAAATTTCTCCAAAGCACAAAATTAAATTGATGGATCAATGGGTGCTTGACATCAGGTAATAAATATAACATGCATATATAGCTAGGACACTAACATATTGATGATATATGAAAGTTTGACTGGGGATCAAACCAACTGCACTTGAGGTGGGCATGCTACCAGAACACAGAAATAAAAGTTAAAATTATGTATATCATGAAAATATTGCTGTTAATATATATAAATTTGTTCACCAGTGAAATATATTTCATTTGGGACTGATTGACTCAAACATGATAGGAAATTTAAAAAGAAGTACAACCCTTGCCCAGAAAGACAATCTGAAGAATTGAATATGTGCTATCAAATTATGTTGCTAATCATTTTAAGTGACAAGAGTCTAATAAAATACAAATACTTTTATAATGTATTTTAAGAAAGTTTCCATGATTTTTCATTTCAGGAAAAGATAAACATTTTTGTTCTTAGAGAAATGTTAGAAGGCATGAGGTACTGTATAGTGTTTTGACTCATTGATAAATGTAACAATTTAAGAATACATTTCAAAAATCTTGTGTGATATAAATCTGAATTTTTGTAAGGTGAAAAAAATTGTTGAAATGAAAAGGGGAGACAATTTAATGTCTTGTTAGTTTATTTTACCTATAATGAATAGAGCAACATAAGTAATCAATAAAAATTGATTTTTATTTATCATATTGTAATTTGAATTTTAAATAGCATTTTATTTGATAAATGATTGAGCAAAAGGAGTATAATGATATTGTTTTTCTATTTTCAAAACGACAGTGAATACACAAATAAAAACTTGTGGTTCCAAAATTTTAATATTTGTATGTTTTTTTGGCTGCTAATTAACATATAAGTACATTTGTTTTTAGAGCGGAAGGTGCTGTTTTGACTGTGAGATCCTTACGATTTCTCCAGCTACAGGATGTTCCTGATTGTGAAGCTTTTGCCAACATGTATAAACATACACCTCTTAGAAGACAGGTACAAATGTATATTTTTTCTATGATAAATGTTTTAATGCAAAATTTTCAAAAAAAGAACAATTGATAACTGATCTGGTGTCTATTTTCTGTGTAGAGGAAATGCTGATGTTTTATTAGTCTTGCTGAATGAATCATCAGTGTATGTTAACAGAGATCAAGTTGAAGTATCTCAATCCTATCTGGTGATTAAATAGCGATTTTCACTTTCCTCATTCAACAACAGAATGTTTATAGGTATAAGTGAGAAATAGAGTATATGTCAATGTGATGGCAAACCAACAACACAAAAAAGACATCTAGCGTTCTACAACAAGAGCCTACACAGTTAATCAAGTGCATTATGCCCTTATTGCAAAACAGATGTAGTAAATATTACAATGAAAATTCCAGCATTTAAAAAAAAGAAATTTAACACTTGAGGTCTTTAAATATATATGAATGTTTTAATGTCAAGATTTTCTGTATGGAAATTTATAATAATATAAACTCCGTGATATGAGATTTCACTAAGTTTTCATTGTTTATTGGTCAATATTTAGCTATATTTTTAAGAGTTTCTGTAATAAAAACGACAGCTTTACCAATTATATTCATGTGGATGCATGTAATTCTCTGTTGAATCTATCAGTATATCTTTTGGGTTATTTGTGTTTTTGGATTGCTATCTCATTGTTACACATTATTTTGAAAAATCAGAATTTTGTAGGACAGTTTCAATTACTTCAGAAATTCAGCTTGACAATAAATAAAAATTACAATTTTATAATAAAACAGTATTCAGTTATTTTACTGTCTGCTTTCTAAAATAAACATATATTTTGAATTCTTGAAGAATGCATTATCTTACAGATATATATATATATATAATCTATAATCATTTGTTTTCCAGACTGTTATCACATGTTTAGCTACAATGAAGAAATCTCTAGCAGATGAAGATGCCATTAGTTGTTTAGTTATAGGTACAGAAAGTAAATCAATATATGTACTGGACCCTGAAGCTTTCACAGTCCTTACTACTGTAAGTCTTAAATAATATAGTAAATGGTAAACATTTATCAATCCAGGGTTTAAGCTAGGATTTTGAGGGCTTTAGTCACTTTTGCGTGAGGTGAAAATCAACATTATTTTGGGTAACAGCAAGGGACCAAGGATGTATGTATATTACTAGCTATACATCTTTGTCAGACTTTGAAGGACTAAGGCATCAATTTACTAGGCAGTAATTGCATGATTTGACTGATGTGTCACTTAAATATGAAGATTAGGATATAAGATCTGAAAATCTAGTTCAAAATTTTACTTCAATTAGTTTCAGGGGACATTCCTGATCAACAAAAGTTGAGGAATCACAGTATGAATGAACTTGTTGAACTTTGAAGACTATTACACTGCATTATCATCATCCTAATAGAATGTTTAAATCGATATTTGAATTAATTTCTATAAAGTTGGAACCAAGGATTTGTTCAAATTCACATGGAACGATTCCAATAATGGTAAATTGTAAATTATTCGAGAATTGATCACGTTTACTTTCGTTTTCAAATGAAATGTAAACGGGAAGTGACAAGTAGATAATAAATTCAAAATGAATCAGGATTCATCTACGGATTGGTTCGTGTTTAAAAAAGGCAGGAAATTATATTTTTTTTTTATTTTAATTTGCTTAGTAAGAACTATATTTGTCTCTCTCATTTACTTTGGCACAAAATTTATTTCGTATTTTATGTTTTAGTGTCTATAAATTCATAGGAATACTTTCACGCATGCACAGTATATCGTAAAGGAAGCACCTGTTTGACTCGTTGATGATGATGGAAGTTTTTAACGTGAAAACATTTATGAACGTTTTGAATAAAGTTCTATCTTTTTAATCGAAATTGAACATTTTATATCAAAGATGACGAAAATATGATCATTTGACGAAACTACGACAAACGAACTGCAAATTATGATCGTTTTAGAAATATTGAAATTAAAAAGCGAACTGTCCGGGGGGAACAATTTTGTTCAAATGATGAAACTATGACAAACGAACTGCAAATTGTGGTCGTTGGCCTTGAGAAATATTGAAATTAAAATGCAGACTGACTAATTTTACTGGGGAAATAATTAACAGGATTAGTGACCCATCCGATGGCGATAAGCGGGTTAGCTGTAATCACAACTTTATAACGCGTGTTGTAAATGTTAATTAGCTGAGGGTCATAAACTTGTCAGAAACATGTAGACAGGTAGAATTATAGTATTTTCCTGCTAAAATATTTTTTACACTTTCCAAATTTAAGTGACGAAATTGATTTGAAATACTTTCGTCATTTTGAAAACAGTTTCGTAAATTACGAAAGTGATGAGCGCTAGCAAAATCACTGATCAATCCCTATTATATACCAAAAAAGTAGTTTAAAGTTCAGTTGACCTTACTATCGCCCTAATTCATGATGAAAACAAGTTGAATATTTGATTTTTACCTGGATAAATTAGTTCAGAATAGATAAGAAAGGTTGAACCAGTTGTGAATTTTAATACAGTTGAGAAAATGGGATATGTTTGGTAGGTTCAGAAATATTGCCTCATAGCAGGCCACCTATGGACCTCTAATACAAAGACATTATTATATCAATGCAAAGTCTTTGGGGGTGTATAGGAATCACTAAGTCTGACATTGCTCTATTGTTTGACTGCCTTTTCAGGACTTGCTGAGGCCCATATAGAAACATGGAAATTGCTAACCCAGACTTAGGGCATCAGGTTTCTATCTAGAAATTGTTATGATCCATCTTTAAATAGATAAATCATACATCATTTGATTCACTATTCATTTTTATCTATAAATATGTACATTTTATACATGTACTTAAACCCCTATATCGCATACAAAAGCTATAATTCCATCAACACTACCAGAGAATGTACATCAAAGAAATGTATTCCTGATCCTACATTTGAAAGTGAAGATTAAGGAACTAATATCTACAATATTTCAATTTGTTGATAAATTCTCGAAAGTGCAACTCTTCCTTAATGGCAAATTGGAAATTAATGAAACTTTACAAGAACACTACCTGAGGATGTAAAGGAAAATAATCCCAGTCCCAATCAAAGGAGAAATAACTGTATTCTACTTCATTAAGTCTCTAGTGGAGGGTTGTCTCATTGGCAATCATACCACATCTTCTTATTTTTGTATTAATTACTTAAAAAATGTAATATGCCAGAATTATTTACTGTACGTGCAACACCTCCTTAACAGCCTAACTGATATTGATGAAACATTTATAACACAGTTTTAGAACACTACCTGAGGATGTGCATAAAGGAATGTAATCCTGGTCCACCAATATATTGCAAGATTTTATGAAATGACCCTATGTCAGATTAAATAAATGTAAAATCTATTCTATAAATTATCAGCTGCACAACTCCATTTATCACATTTATGTCTGTAGAAAACATCATCAAAATTTTTAAAAATAAGCACATTTGATATGATTACAGATCGATCTACCAAGTGTACCTGTGTTCCTTAGCGTGACTGGTTTATATGATGTAGAATACAGAATTGTTGTGGCTTGTAGAAACGGTTGTATATACACCCTGAAAAGGTGAGCTTAATGTTATATGTATATCACATTGCAAAAAAAAAACAATTGCCCTGTTTCATTTAAGCCATTTAGAAATCGCATTGTACATCTCGCTACCAAAAAATTAATAAAGAAAAATGCCTGTTTCAGACCTTCACGTTAAAAACTATCTGCAGACACAGACTCCATCCTCTTTAAGTTGCAACACCCTCCACTAACTAATAATGTTGATCTTGAATTGATTGGGCAAAATATATATCAAATTTTAAACTTAATTCTTGATAATGTACTGAGAGAGTTGTATGTAATATTTAATGAAATAAGAACATATGATACTACATTTTATGATTGCCTTGATATACCCAAAAGCTCTATATGTCTTGTTTATTTTGTAATAGTTTTTAACCCTTTAACCTATATTATATAAAAAAATATTTATTTGTAGCAATTATAATTTGAAGAGGTAAATTTCATATAAAATACAATTAATACTGTTAACTTCTGTTAACTTTTGTTAACAACAACCTTGTAGAGTATAACATTTATCTTACATAAAATACTTATTAGCTGAAATTCTTTGATTAATTTTTTAAAATATCAAACTTCTGTTTTGTGTGTTTCTCTCAACTTCATACTTTTACTTATGTTTGTAATGGTCATATTATTGCTTTTTATTGTGTGTCTTGAGAAGCTACATATATGACCTTCTCTTTCTTAAATGATCTTATTTTCTCTTAGAAATATACCAAAGTGAAGCTGGTACATACTAAATATGTATATTCTGTCAATGCTTCATTAACCTTACAGCTCACCTAGCCAAAGGCTTGTCATCATTTCCCACCTGTCATATTTCATGGAGAATCCATTAACCATGGTTTTAAGTACCATAACTTTTTCCATGGTTTAATTTTTTGATATTTTGAACCTGTATTACCATTCAGTTTGGATCAGGATTTGCACTTCAATCAATTTTTTGGATAAAACATGTTTTGAGCTAACAATTTGACAAAATGTTTGTATGTGGAACTTTTTGCCAATTTTCCAGGGTTTTTACCTTTTTTTGACAGTCAAGATGTTTTGATGCTTTTTAGATAAAGTAGAGTTTGAATGTAGCTCTCAGGTATCTTACCTGTCTATTATCAGTAGGTATTGGTGTGCATACTTAGTTTTAAATTTGATACGTGTTTGAACAATGTACATTTAATTAGATTTTTGTATTAAATTTATACAGTATCATTACCTTTTCGGCCCTAATTATCATAAAATTTCACTTATAAAATCATTTAAACTACTGAATGAGATTGACTATTATCTAAAAAGGTGAAAACTTGAATTAGAATGTAATCTGAAAGCTCAACAGTTCTACATTATACTATGGGTAATACATGTTCATCCCTTAGAATTTTCTAAATACAATAAATTATGATTTTAGTTTTACCAAATAAAATATGACATATACCTCTTGTTGGAAATAAGAGGTAAAAATGAAATTACACTTTATATTTTGGTATCTTCGCACGCAAACTGAAACATTAAGATTTTTGTTATTTTTATGATTGAAAAAAAACTGTCCACAAAGCTGTCTATTCATAAACAACCCCAGTCTCTGCTTCCAACATTCCACTTTTCTATTGTAAAGATATAGTCCATATTTTGCATGCAGAAACACCAAATATCAGTTATATGACAATTTTAAGCTAGAAAGTGCACAGAACCATTAGATACTGATGTTTTTTTTTTAAGTTTCACTGAAATGTAATCACTGGAATAAGAAAAATTTGGACGACAAAGTAATAAATGGATGAATAATTTTTTACAAAAAATCTTTTCCCTCCTCCGTGCTTAGGTATATGAAATTATTAAGAAGGAATGCCCTTTTTGACCAAAAAATTAGAGTTAATTTCCTAATGCTTGTAGATTAAGATTTAGTTGGCTTGCTTGCTGTGTTTGTATTAACATTTGCTCAAACATTGTAATTAAGATTGACATCTGCAAACAATATAGATTGGGCGGAGTTAAACCTTACTTACATTGTCTCTTAATGTTTGCATGTACAATTATAACCTCCAGAATAACATCCAATCAAATTTAAGTAAAATGTATACAGATTTAACGCCGCCTATTTTATTTTGTTTGCAGATGTCAATCTTAATTACAATGCTTGAGCAAACGTTAGTAAAAACATAGCAAGTAAGCCAACCAAAGTCTTAATCTACAAGCATTAGGAAATTAGCTTAAGTATTACAAAATCAGGTGATTTATGTGTAAACATTATTTATAAATATGTGCCAAAATAAAACCATAAGTTCATTCAAATAATATGAATATTCGTGGAGTTTTTACATTCGAAAGACAGCATAATTACATATTTGACACATATTTGGGTTTGGGAAATTTGGAGCATGTGCAAGTACATGTACCACAAAGATAATTACATGAAGGGCATTGTTCATTATTTATTTATTTATTAAAGATATGCACACTTATACCCTGAGAGGTTGAAGGCATATAAACAATGCAAATATATACACAATTAGAAAATTAAAAAATATGAAACATCATAAACAATCATTGTAGTGATTTACAAATGATTTATTTAGTTGGTAGTTACCTGTGCCTCATATGTGTGGGTCCAAAAACTATTTAATACCACAAATGTACTATAATTAACATCCATCTGTTTGTATATATCTATAACATTCATCTCATATTTTCACTACTTTTACTGTAGAATTCATACCATCTTCATTTGTGTAAAATATTTAATTAAAAACAGGTGGTGATATCTTCATTTACAAAATTGGGAAAGTCAAACACAATTTCACCAGAACAATATTTTTTTTTGCTTTTTGTTGATAACAGATGATTTGAATATAACATAAATTATATTTACTTGTTTCATTTGTAGGGGAAGTTCAGACTACTTAAAACATTGTATAGAGCTGAACTCACAGCCTGTTGGCTTAGAAAGAATAAACAAAACAATATATGTAGGAACTATGGATGAAACAATGCACTGCTTCACATCTAAGGTAAGATTTATTATTACTAATAATGACCTTCCATGCATTAAGATCAAAGGTATGATTTATTATTACTGAAGCTGTCTTTACACTGTAAAACTTCCATGCATTAACCAATTTTATTGTAGCTGGTCAAAATTTTTTTTGTATTTACAGGAAAATTTCTTTTTTTTTTGTAGTGACTGCAAAATTTAGAATGTAAATGCAACTCAGGTAAATCTGAGGTTAAGGTGCCGTTTCCAAGAAGAAATTATAATTTCAACATTTTAAATTTTCTTATTTAAAGAGAATTGGCCCCTTGCAGCAAAATAAGTTAACACAATAATGGTTTATACTTCAACTACTGATATAAGGGTTCAGTGGCATTGAAGCTTAAAAAACGATCAAATATCTTTTTAAAAAATGTTGTCTGCTCTATGGTCGGGTTGTTGTCTCTTTGACACATTCCCCATTTCCATTCTCAATTTTATCTTAAAATCAGATGCCTAAATGATAGTACATGTATATGTATTCTTAGACAAATAATTATGACGTCTTGAAAGGCTATTCTAATTTTTTGCTGTGATGCCTTCCTATGTATATAATATAAAACGAATGTTCCCTAATTCGGGTCTGCCAAATTTTACCAAGTTTGGTGCAAAAATTTTATTTTATACTCTCCGAAAGTAAAGCAACTTGTGAGATCAGCCAAAAGTTTTAAAACAGCAGTAAATTATCGCCCGCCTCTGATGGAATTGTAACTTATTTTATCAATGCTTTAGAAAATTATTGGAATTATTTAGCACCAACAAACACATAAAAGGTAAGAATTTGTATATATGCAAAAATTTCTAGCCGTCAGTGAAGATTTTATGGCAAAAATTGGTCTCAAACTCAAAGTCCAACAAAAAAAATGGCTTCAGCATTATGATGTTGTAGGAAGGCAAAAAATCAAAATAGCCTTTCAAGATGTCATAATTATTTGGACTAATGTATTCTAGTTTCTAGAGCTTTCATATTTACAACCTTTAAGAACATACTTGCTTGACAGTACAAAAATGTTAAATTAAAAGCTATTTGATTATACAGATGTAATTTATATTGGCACATTTTTGTCGAGCCTTCGACTTTTGTCGAAAAAGCGAGACATAGCCATCCTACATTCCGTCGGCGGCGGCGTCCACAAATATTCACTCTGTGGTTAAAGTTTTTGAAATTTTAATAACTTTCTTAAACTATCCTGGATTTCTACCAAACTTGGACAGAAGCTTGTTTATGATCATAAGATAATATTCAAAAGTAAATTTTGTAAAAAAAAATTCCATTTTTTCCGTATTTTACTTATAAATGGACTTAGTTTTTCTGCCAAGAAACATTACATTCACTCTGTGGTTAAAGTTTTTGAAATTTTAATAACTTTATTAAACTATCCTGGATTTCTACCAAACTTGGAAAGAAGCTTGTTTATTATCATAAGATAGTATCCAGAAGTAAATTTTGTAAAAAAAAAATTCCATTTTTTCCGTATTTTACTTATAAATGGACTTAGTTTTTCTGCCAGGTAACATTACATTCACTCTGTGGTTAAAGTTTTTAAAATTTTAACAACTTTCTTAAACTATCCTGGATTTGTACCAAACTTGGACAGAAGCTTGTTTATGATTAAAAGCTAGTATCTAGAAGGAAATTTTGTTAAAATTTTGTTTCATTTTGTCCGTATTTTACTTATAAATGGACTTAGTTTTTCTTCCAGTTAACATTACATACAGTCTGCAGTTTAAGTTTTTAAAACATTTATTAGATTCATAAACTATCCTGGATTTTTACCAAACTTGGACAGAAGCTACTTACAATCAAAAGATAGTATAGAGAGGAATATTTTTATTAATTTTTTTACTCATTTTTGTTGAGCCTGTGATTAACAGCAAAAGTAGGCGAGACACTAGGTTCCGCGGAACCCTTACGAATTTTATGCATTCTTTCGGTAGTATTAATTTGTTTTGAGGTTGAAATTGTATTTCTATTCACAGGGTAAGAAGGTTTGGACTGTTAAGTTACCAGCTAGTATTACTACAATGGAAACAATGGATTATCCATCTAAAGGATTTAAAGGAGTCATTCTAGCTCTGAATAACTGTCAGGTCCATCTGTACAAGGAGAAGTATTTGGTGAATATTATTAGTACAGAAGATATTGTCACTGGTCTGAAGTTTGGTAGATTTGGCAGAGAAGATGCCACATTGGTAATGACCACAAGAGGTAGGCACTCATAGGCTAATTAAAACATAATTAGCTGCTGATTCTAAATGTTGATTTTTTTTATGTGCTTTTCATTTGTTGGCATACTGTCTCCCTGACACTATCCTTATTTCTCATACATTTAATATATATTGAGTTAAAAAAGTTTATAAGTGAATATTTTAAGGTTAATTTTATATTTCAAAAATATAGTATACTTCTCAACATAACAAAAAATAAATTATAGTATTAAGAATTTAAGTTCAAAAAGGTTTCAAATTGGTAGATTTTATGAAAGGATACATTTTTAGAATATGATAAGAAAAGAGGAATAATCATAATAGACATGACAAATAATCACTATAATAGACTTTGTGAATAGTATAATCCTGAAACTAGATAAGTCTAGTAAAATTATCCTGAATTCATACACATATACAGTTATCCTTTAGATAACATTATGAATACTCAAGTTGATTCTTTAAGTTATTTTTAGTGGATTTCAGGGGTATAGGTGAACCACTAATTTAAAAATTCAACAAAATACGAATTTCTTAAAGGCTTGTATGCAGAATTTGACAAAATCACAAACTCAAGATTCAAAGAAAATATAATTTTTCCTGAGTTCACGTTAATTGGTTTCTGCAAAGGTGAAGATTAGTAATTTTGCACTTAAACTGAAATTTAGAGAATCATTTGAAGCAGATTTCAAGCTTTTGAAAGATATATCCATTTTCTTAATTTACAAGTTTTATTTGAACCAGGTTATATACCCATGAATAAGATGGACCAAACATAGCTACAATTTAAATAAACATGCAAGGTTTGAAAAGTTGAGTAAAAAAATAATATAATTACAAAAAAAATACATTTATCATCATTTAATAAATAAGCATACAAATATTTTTAACAAAGAAAGCTCAGAATACTTAGATGTTTGCTTAAAAGATGTTGTCTACATTTTAGGAGGAGGATTACTAATAAAGATCTTGAAGAGAAATGCAACATTTGAAGAAAAAGATATATCAGCAGGACCTCCAGCAGCACAGAATACAAAGCTAAATGTTCCAAAGAAAACTAAACTATTTGTAGATCAGACAATGAGAGAGAGGGAAAATGCTGTGTGTAAGTGCTATTTGTACCTTGGAATAACAGATATAGAGCCTAAATACTACCTCTGCCTTTTTCTCTACAATTAGTCATTTGATTTATTTAGAAGTTTTGTTGAAAAGCCTTAAGGTGACCATTTTCCATTAGTATTTTCCAAAAGAAAGTTAGAAAAAATTATATTTATGAAATCATTTGCTGCAATTTTTTATCCATCAAATGAAAAAAAAAATCATTGATAAAGCATATATTTTTTTCAATTGAAAATTAAGAATTTTTGACATTGTAAGTGATTTTCTAGGATTTGAAGTTTTGGACATAGCATGCTAGTATTCCCTTAAGGGTCCAATATATCAAGATTTAAATAAAAATTCTATAAAACAAGGCTGATCAAAATCGCAACAAAATAATGTAACTTTTAAGTTGAGTAATAATTGATTTTAGTGTCATTTATTACAAAATGAACAAGTTATTTTATTTATATGTAAGTTTGTTTCCTTTAAAAAAATTTTTTTTAATTTTGATTTAAACTAGAGGCTTTAACGAGCCTGTGTTGCTAACGTAGGTCTATGTGCACCTTCCACAATGGACATACTCCAACGCTGTAGACTAGAAATGAATTCATGACAATAATGTCTTTTTTGTTGATCTTGTATCATCTTTTCTGTTTTCATTTTTTCTCTATCGTCTGGAGTTTTTGCCCCAAACACAAAAAAGGGTTAAAAAAATTGTCATTTAAGGCAATCTCACCTATTAGAAGTCTTCTAACGATTTCAGCAAAATTTGACATATTTGTAGATCTTGTCTTGCTGATCAATTTTGCAATTTAAAGTTTAAAATGAAAATGTGTTCATTCATAGATTATCTATTTGCAGCAATGCACAGAACATTTCAGAGAGATTTATACTTATTAAGATTGAATACAGCTAGAGAATATGCCAAGTCATTAGAGAATAGCATGAACCCTATATCATCTGATCCTATGGAGCCACTTAAACTAAATGCCACAGTAAGTCATTAAAGGCAGGAATTACATCTTATTGCTTCCTTAAATTTGTTATCAGGCTTCATGTCATCATGCTTTACTATGTAACGCAGTTTCAGATTCATTGATTATCAATTTCCTGTACACAGAATATTTATATTTCATTCTAACAAATTCTTCAACTTCCTGTTTACGAAATAATTAAAGCAGGGTTATTGTTAGTGAGCAACAGCTCACAGTTCTAGTTAGGTTTTCTATTGTTTCATCAATATTAATTAGAATTTTAAAAGAAATAAAAATTACATAAATCAATCCAAATTTTGTATGTGTATGCCTTATGATCTGAAGTGTCTGTCTATAATATGTCAGTTGATCTAAACCTCATTTTCATGGTTCAGCAATTTAAAAAAAAATTGATATCTACAGTTCTTGTATAGCAGATAAAACACATAATGAATGTAAAATCGATAGAAGGGAAAGTCAATACATGTGTCTGTATTCATTATGAATCTCAAGAAGTATCAAGTCCTTAATTTCATCCTGTTTTTCACATTTTTTTATAGGTGCAAGGAATTGGTCCAACATTTAAGCTGACAGTAAACTTACAGAATACTTCATTAAATCAAGCATCATCCAATCTAATCATCACATTCCAGTATGATGAAAAGTTATATGTGTTCAAGAAAGCTTACCTACAGGTAAACCAAACAATTTCCTTTAAATCATATGAATCAAATTTATAGATTAAATAGATTAAAAGCATGGGAAAATGTAGTATGACAATTATTTCATTTTAGACCTATAAATAAAAGAAAATTTGGAATACACATGTTTATAGAACATTTCATCCCAATTTGACATGATTTTCACATGTTTGTATTTATTTTGTACATTTCACATATATAGCAGTTTGACATTCTCCTAGAAATTTAGGCAGTCTACTCATCCCTGTATTTGCAATTTTCTAGAGAGAAAAAAATATATATGCACTAGAGATTTAATTGTATATATTTTATATTACTTTGATTACAGCTTTACTTTATGTGATGCATAAACTTGATATTTAATCTAAGGATAGAAAAGAATGTTAATAATGTAAATAAAAAACAGACTCTCTTACCAGCTGCTTGTCTGTATTATAAATCTTTGTATAGGAAGTACACCCCCTAATTGAACTCTCATCTGGGTTTTGTTATTTGTTAATTGTTTAATTGTCTTTCTTTTGCTTGTCATTAATTTGTTGCTGTATAAAAAATTCCCTTTTACATGTTTCCACAAATCTGTTTAATGAGATCTCAAGGTTAAGTATAGTAATTATTTTTATTCAAATTACATAATTCATATGATTTATCTACTCCATATATATATATATACTCCTGATTATAAGACTTCATAATTTATAAGTGAGACAATTTTTATACGACCGCAAAAATTGAAAATTTTTTGGTCGTATATTGGTATGACGTTGGCGTCGTCGTCGTTGTCGTCATCGTCCGGCGTCGTCCGAAGACACATTGGTTTTCGCACTCTAACTTAGTTTAAGTGAATGGATCTCCATGAAATTTTACCATAAGGTTCAATACCACGAAAGGAAGGTTGGGATTGATTTTGGGGGTTATGGTACCATCGGTTAAGGAATTAGGGGCCAAAAAGGGGCCAAAAATAAGCATTTTTGTAACTTCCAGACAATAACTTGTGTGTAAGTGTATGGATCTCTCTGACATTGTACCACAAGGTTCCATATCACAAAGGGAAGGCTGTAATTGATTTTGGGGGTAATTGCCTCAAAATTTTAGGAATTAGGGGCCAAAAAAGGGGCAAAAAACAAGCATTTTTCTAGTTTCATGACAATAACTTGTGTGTAAGTGTTTGGATATTTCTGAAATTGTACTACAAGGTTCCATATCACAAAGGGAAAGCTGGAATTGAGTTTGGGGGTAATTGCCCTAAACGTTTAGGAATTGGGGGCCAAAAAGGGGCCAAAAATAAGCATTTTTCTAGTTTCCAGACTATAACTTGTGTTCAAGTGTATGGATCTCTCTGAAATTGTACTGCAAGGTACCATACCACAAAGGGAAGGCTGGGATTGAGTTTGGGGGTGATGAATCATAAGGGGGTTCAAAAAATTTGGGGGGGGGGGGATTTTTTTTTTTTTTCTTTTTTTCTTTTTTTCCTTTTTTTTTATTTTAAAATTTCCATTTTAAGTTGGTTATTTCTGATTTATATTTAAAAGCAAATAATAATGATATGGTAGGAGATACACACCAAACAGGATGTGTAAATTATTATATAATAAGTATTGTGCAATAGCAAGAAATTTTCAATTCCACAGTATTGCACAATAGCAAGAAATCTTCAATTGCACAGTATTGCGCAATAGCAAGAAATCTTCAATTGCACAGTATTGCGCAATAGCAAGAAATATCCAATAGCACAATATTGCGCAATAGCAAGAAATTGTCAATTGTACAGTATTGCGCAATAGCAAGAAATATTCAATTGCACAGTATTGTGCAAAAGAAGATACTTCGTATAAATTGCTTATTTCTTGATCAATTTCAATGGGGTTTTATTCTTGAATTCTTGGGGTTCTTTAATATGCTGAATCTAACCGTGTATTAAGTTTTTGGATTTTGGGCCCTGTTTTTAAATTGGTCCACATTGAGGTCCAAAGGGTCCAAAATTTAACTTTGTTTGATTTCATCAAAAATTGAATTATTGGGGTTCTTTGATATGCCGAATCTAACCGTGTATTTAGATTCTTAATTTTTGGTTCCGTTTTCAAATTGGTCTACATTAAGGTCCAAAGGGTCCAAAATTAAACTTAGTTTGATTTTAACAAAAATTGAATTTTTAGGGTTCTTTGATATGCTGAATCTAAACATGTATTTAGATTTTTGATTATGGGCCCAGTTTTCAAGTTGGTCCAAATCAGGGTCCAAAATTAAACTTTGTTTGATTTCAACAAAAATTGAATATATGGGGTTCTTTGATATGCTGAATCTAACCATGTATTTAGATTTTTGATTTTTGGGCCCCGTTATCTTTGTCCACATTGAGGTCAAAAGGATCTAAAATAAAACTTTGTTTGATTTCATCAAAAATTGAATTCTTGGGGTTCTTTGATATGCTGAATCTAACCATGTATTTAGATTTTGGATATTGGACCATAATAGGTGAATGTCCAATTTAAAATTTTTAAGTTCTTAGACCACATTCATTCTGTGTCAGAAACCTATGCTGTGTCAAATATTTAATTACAATCCAAATTCAGAGCTGTATCAAGCTTGAATGTTGTGTCCATACTTGCCCCAACTGTTCAGGGTTCGACCTCTGCGGTCGTATCAAGCTGCGCCCTGCGGAGCATTTTATTTAACATTTCAGTGGTTTTAGATAATAGTCATTAATATAAATATAATAAATGTATGTTTATCTGTAGGTCCCAATGTTAGTTCCAGGTTTGAACTATGCCTTTGACACACTTGTTGAATGTCAGAGTGATAAAGGAATATCTGATAATGTAAAGGTTTGTTTCCTATTTTTTACTGATTCATTATTCATTACAACCATTACTTTTACTGATTCATCCACATAATAAACTTTGTGAAAAACTAGTTCCCTGCATTATGATGGAAATGTATTTCCCAGGAACTGTCATACATGACTCATAGTTCATTTAAATTGAGGCTCATTAAGCATACAAATCTTTCATCTCAAAAATTTACTGGTTGTGTTTCCACATTAAAGTAATGAAGAGAAATTATTAAAAGTCCTATTATATAGAAAAAAGACTAATGGTCTTTATATAAGAACAAATGTAGTAACTATTGTGTTCAATTTGTACAATTAACCAAACACAACTTCCTTTTAATAACTGCTATAGTATAACTTTTACCATATATTACAGGTGTTTGTTTTAAAAGAAGGAAAGAGTATACCCATTATAACAGGAGTAATAAGTATGCCAGTTAGTGAATCATTAGTTGTTGTGTAGTTTACACATGTATTGAAATTTGGACCAATGAAGTAACATGGAGATCTTTAGACATCAGTGACATGCCATTTGTTTTACATTGGTGAACTTTGAAAAAAAAAACTGAGACATGTGATATGCAAGAACTACAGTATGAATCAGGAAAATTCAGCTGACAATAATTGTCCAGACAGAATCTCTAGTTTAAAATTATAATTTGAAAAAAAAGCTAGTTTTCTTTGTTGATAAATTATTTGTAACTTTTTGGTTATATTGATTGATATAACTAGAATTGTTGGGAGAAATTTTTTAAAATATTTATCATCCCACTTATTGAAGTCCGTGTTTACAGGATGATTGTGTCTGTTTCATTGTAGTAAGTCCATTCCCTTTTGTATTTGCAATTCTTCCTATATCAGGTTTTCTGGATTTCTAGGAAACTTTCTGAAAATTTTCAGTACCTAATTTCTCAAAAAATCATTGGACTATACCATATCTACACAAATGGGGATATGGAACTATTTGTTAGCTCTGCTCAGAATATTTTTAGTTATACTAGTTTCATTGGTAATGACATCAGAGAATCATTTAAAACTTGTCTTAACATTTACATGCAATTGCATCCCAGCTGTGTAAAGGCAAAGTTTTTAAAGTTAACGTTATTTTTTGAGCCAAATTGTGAAAATGTTATAATTTTGTACATTCTTGACTGATAGGAAATTTTTATGTTGACTATATATTTGGCCTTATTAACTTTTTTGATTCGAGCATCACTGATGAGTCTTTTGTTGATGAAACAAGCGTCTGGCACACAAAATTCAAAAGTCTGTTATTGTATATTCACAATTAAATGTTTATGAATGAAAGAAGATGTTAGGTAATGAGACAGCAACCCAAAGTTTGCATTTATAAGTTGAATCTTTTACAGCTGACAATAATGTGAGATCACAGTGACTGGATTCCAAAATTACTTTACTTTTATGATAGAATACAAATTTAATGATCGATGTGGAATTCAAATCTGATGAGGATTATAAGATTTAGTATGCTTTCATTTAAAATTTTACACACTAACATTGATGACTAGACTGTGGTTCTCCTACAACAGTTTGGTCAAATTTCAGACCAGTTGAAACAATTGATTTGATGAAACAAATTGATATTGGATCAGTTTTTTAAATGAATTTTTATAGGCGGAGAGTTACTAACACTTGTCATCAAGTCACAACAAAATTATTGTGATTCATGTATATTTTGTATTAGAATATTACTCAGGTACTGGTACTATTAAGAATTAATTACAAGTTTTAAACTGTTGCAAGCTTCATACTATTACATAAATAGAGACAATGATGAGGATCTTATTAATTTCAGATTCATGGTATCTGACTATTCACATACACAAGAAAGTGCTATATCTTGTAATTTTAACTGTATTATGCCCCTTTGTATTAAGCAATTTTTGTTTCATCTCTAAAAATTTGTAACTTTACATTAAGACTTCACATGAAGAGCAAATGTTAAACTAATAGTTTTTCTTTTGTTTGGTAGATTAATATATATGTTTTATTTGTGCATACAATATCTGTGATAATTAATAAATGATTTTCAAAAGATCTTAGGTTTTTTTGATTGAAAATATATCCAAAAGGTGGAATATGAATCATTTGATATAGTTTATGGATACATAATCTATTTAAATGAAAGTTTCATCTGGCTATATATACACATGTAATGCATTTTCTAAATTTGAGCATTTTGTAAATTCCAGATGAAATTTTTCAAATCATGTCAAAAATATAAAACTTGGCTTGAAAGAAAATGCTACTATTTGTTTTTGGATCAGTAGGTCAGACCGTCAGAGGTCTAGTTGACAGCAGCAACCAAAGACAATATTTGTTAAAATGTGGATTTCCAGGAAATTCTGGGAATAAGATCCATCCCTCAACCAAAATGGATGCAGTTGCCAGCATTTAACATAAATTGTCAGCAGATTTTAGTCTTCACTACCAAAACAAAAAGATAGAAATGCCTCTTCTTCTTCAATTCAAAGATGGCAACTTGGCTTATACATCTGTGATGCTTCTGTACTGATTAAATTTTATATTGCCTGCTCTAGTATGATGTATTGTCTCTGATAATGCAATTAAGACTAATGTAGTGTTTTAGTGCCAAACGTGACATGACAATATTAAATATTACAAATACCATTAGGGGATCGCCATTTGATTTTTTAGGGTGATTGGGGCAAGAGGATATTTTTGTGGATGGAATATTGATTTTCACCTGTTGCTAGTACAGCTTATTTATTTTTGGCCGCATTTCCTTATGAAAAATTATAAGTCTTGTACACAACCATTTCATGCATTGTTCTTTATTTTGTTGGACAGAATATTCATTCTGTCTTGGGCTTATAAATTTTTTTTTCCAGTTTACACCAGGCCAGAATATTAATTTCTAAAATCTTCCTGATACCTACAGTGAAATAATATGTTAATTCCTTGTGAATAATATATGTTTAGAGTACTAAATACTAAGTACTAAATATGTATGCCATAAGGCACTGACTTTATTTTCAAGCTTCTTTAGATTAATTACTGCTGTAACTTTACTAGTTAAGTAAATTATTTTGATTTATTCAAAGATGTATGTTCAACAGACTTACCAGTATATGATCTGGTGTTTTCTCATTGTTGAAGGCCATATGATTGCTTATATTTGCTTACATCCACTTCATTTGAACTTTGGTGGATAGTTGTCTCATTGGCAATCATACCACATCTCCTGATTTTTATATTGACCTTATTTTCATAGCGAACAAGGAACTATTTGAATCTGGAATAATTTTGAATTCTGGAAAATTGATGAGAAATATATGATGAAAACTAACCCAACTAAATAGGGTTAGTCGTGCACGCATGGCTAAGGGGGGTTAGTTCATACTGAATTATCAGAGAAAGTGAAATTAACCTTAGACAGCGTGCATGGCTAACCCTATTTAGTTGGGTAAGTTTTCATCATACATTTCTGAACAATTTTCCAGAATTCATAATTATTCCAGATTCAAATAATTCCTTGTTTAGACATTTTTTTAGCATATAATGTGTATCATAATGGTCAACAATATTTTTGTATGCTTATTTGTTAAAACAAGTTTTTTGAGAGAAGTGTTTCATACAACCCAGACCCCATGTTCACCATTTAGTCTGATAGACTAGTCCCACATCTTCTTTTAATCATGTCTTGATTCCAAAGAATAAGTGATCAAGGTTGACGTTTCATTGTCAAGTCCATATCTCAGATACTATAAGCAATATGTCAAATGTATTTGGTGTGTGGATTGATTGTTAAAGGTACATATCTGACTGGCAAGTTTCATCTGACCTTGATCTCATTTTCATGGGTAATTGGTCAATGTTGAAATTCATGGTTATGTTTGTTTCTAAGATCATATAAGCAGTAAGTCAACTATATTCCAAACATGGAATGGTTGTATGGCAGGGTTCATCTGACCTTGACCTCCTTTTCGGTGTATAGTATGAAATTCAATCATGATACTGTAAAACAGGCAAGACATTATAGCATGTGTACTCTTGTTTTTCATTTTTGCCTATTATAGTGAACACTATAATGAAGATAGATAGAGAAACATTAAATAGGAAAAATGATCCACAAAACAAGATCTACAAATAAATTGATATTGCTGAAATCGTTGGTTAACTCTTTATTCTTTATAGGAGTTACCGTATTGTCCTAAAATGACAATTTTTTTTCGATATTTTGTGTTTTGCCTATTATCTTGTAAACTAGAATAGATACATAGAAAATTTGATTATCAAAAATGATTTTTAAGACAAATTTGACCTTGGATGTATTTGCCAATCAGTATCATCAGTGTATACATGTCCCTTTTGGTTGTATAGAGCTAATCAAGTATTCAATTATACACTTTGGCTTTCAATCTATTGGGTTTGGGCGTTCCTAATGAAGGTAAGCGCAGATAAGGTATTCTGTCTGTCCCAACAAATTTATAAAGTGTTATATCATTCACAATATATATCCAAGTGTTACTATACAGACATTATTTATTGAAATGCGCATCAAGTGTAGTCAAAGAAGTGGGGGCATTAAGGCCCGGTTTTGGCCCAAGAAAATAAAATGTTTGACAACTATTTCAAATTGGCACATAATGTTTGGAAATGTATAGGGTCATGAAATATAAATGAAAAACATAAAGATTTTTATCTGATGACGTCACAATTACGTCATGATATGTATCGTTTTCACAAAAATGATGGAAAATACAGAATTTATGCAGTTTTCGGTCGTTATTTACATTGTGGAAACATCAAGCATAGCCAAGAAACAACAAAATAATTTAGGAGAAGCTATGTTATAAATATTGACGTAATCTCACAAAATATAAAGTTGTTTCTTGGATGCGCAGATACTCTTCCAATCTAAAATTTACTTAAAATTTGATGAAAAACAAGGAAAATCAAGAAATTTTACAAAATATGCAAATTTTGTCATGGTTTGTTGCCATGGTAACTCGTTCAATGTGAAATTTGTTTTTATTTTCTGTAAATCTTGTACCTTAGTCTAGTTTGGACAAATTTAAGAATATGTATGATAACTTTTAAATTTGCAGTTATATTTGGGCCAAATAAGGGCCTTATTGCCCCTACTCCTTTGTACCGTTTAATGATATTACTACCACAGAGTCGAGACCTTTGCTGACCAGCCCTGATAAGTACTTCGTTACTGGTATGAATATACGTTTATTTTTCACCTGAAATTTGCTGTTATAAAACTTACAGGAAATCATTCTATCTCCCTGTTGCATAGCTATGATTCTTGTATGGCTTCTTCTTCTTTCAGTACAGTGCAGTCCTCTAATTAAGTGTTATCGCACTATTGCCCATGCTGGATGTGACAACAAATCTGCAAGAAAATATTTACAGGTGCATGTTAAAAACAGTCTGATGGTGAGATTAAGGGATACTTCAGCTCAGTACCCCCTGCTTGAAAGCATATAGTGAGGTACAATCAACCAAAGGTTATGGATGGCTGTTCCATATCCGTATACTGTCTGGAAAGAAGGAATGCCTGTATGTTGATGTTCTGACATATGGTACAAGAAATCATGTTTTGTGTCCTCTAGATACTGATGATGTATTATGTAGCTATTCTGTACATCATTACTGCTTTACATCTGGCTCTCCTCTCAACAAGTGGTTGCCTCTGTAGAGTTTTTAGCATTGATGTTACACTGCTGGTTTCTTGGTAGTCGTTCATTACAAACTGGGCTGATCTTTGTTGCATACTTTCTAGTTTCTGTATGCTAAGGTTGGTTAACGGGTCCCAAACTGAGCATGCATACTCAAGTAATGGTCTAACTAGCGTTGTGTAGCATACAGCTTCTGTTTGTTGTGGACAGTGGTGCAAGTTTCTAAGTTGAATTTGCCATTTTACCTATGCTACTTGTATCTATGTGTGTGTTTCAATTGATGGTTTTATAGTTTATAAGATATCTCATATTGTTTACAAGATTTCTCAAGTTTATAAGATATCTCATATATTTTATAAGATATCTCATATAGTTTATAAGATATCTCATATAATTTATAAGATATCTTATAAAGAAAATTATATGAGATATCTTATAAACTATATAAGATATCTTATAAATCAATAGGAGATATCTTATAAAATTTATTAGATATCTTGAAGTTAGAATAAATAGTAAAACTGCTTGCCATAATGTTGACTTATTTGTAGATCTTGACTTGATGATTCATTTTGGCTTTACAGTTTCTTTTTATCTATTATGGTTTATAAAATACTAAGCAAAAACACGAAACATTGGTAAAAATTGTCATTAAAGAGCAATAACTCCAATAAGGAGTCATCTGATGATTTCAGCCATGTTTTGACTTATTTATAGATCTAATGTCTTGCTAATCATTTTTCCAAAATAAAAACTCTGCATCTATTATAGTTTTCAAAATAATAGACAGAAATGAAAACAAAATTATATATAAGGGCTATAACTCCTATAAGAAGTCGTCTGACAGTTTTGACATAAATGGACATAAATGGACAGTAGGTCAACATTCTCAACATTTTTGTCCCTGTCAGATTTTTCTTTATTCATAAAACATGACCAAGTATTGTCTAACCTTTACATATATTTTGATATTAAATATATGATGAGTTAATATTTTTAATCTAAGTACTTAATGAGTAGTTTTTAGTCATACATCAGCGGTTATATAAATTGTAAGACTTCTTCATGGCTCAGTGAGTTTTGATAGATTGGGTATATGTTTACTCTCTAGGTTTTACTAGTTAGTTTTATGAAAACTCTCTTTTCTTAATGATAATTGGTTAACTAAGTCATATGATAAAGATAAAATAAAAAAACTAAGTCATATGTTTTTTTTTGGAGGGAAATTCTTTTGTTTGGTTAGATTTTGCTTATATTTTGAACTGAATGGTGTTGTGATGTTCCTTGATATAATTTGTATTCATATTTGGTGGACATCTTTGATTTTATCAAATAAGGTCAGTTTTTTCTAATCAATATCTCACATTCCTACTAATATACTGATATGAATGTTAAAGATGATTTTGTATGATTGGTCAAAATAAATGATTTCATAATAAAAGGTGCATATGGAATATTAAAACACATAAACATATATGAAATATTGGTCAAATCAGAAAAACTAATCAACACAGTCAAAAAATCATGTTGTAACTATTTAAGCCAAATTTTATGGATTTCTCAGTTTTAGTGAAAAGAAGCAATAGAAATAACGTTAAGAGTAAATAGATAAAATAGTTTTTGGTATCAAAAATAATATGCATGTTAAGACATATTTTTGTATATACACAAACTGTTCAACAACAATAGTTATGATTATTTTTTATTTACAGATATTGAACCATACTGTTCCAATATTGTACATGATGTAGTACCACATGGGTTCCCAAGTTTTGTGTATACTAGACCTTTGTACCTCATACATGGTAGGTTTTGTATTCTGTTTATATGTGTGTTTTTGTGCTTAACATGTGTCTTAAGCTCGGCTATAATCTATTTTTTATCAAGCTTATTACGTTAGGTTGCTGTATGCTTTGCTTTATGTGTACTTATACAATGTTGTTATAAATTTTAATAGAATGACCTGAAAAATTACTATCAGCAGAATATTTGGTAGAACTTAATACATTGTTGTACGTTAAATATTTAGATGTATATATTATGATGAGTTCAAAATTTCTCATGGTTTCTATTCGTTACACATAATTCCATAAGTCCAAGACATGGAAATTCACAGTTTTCCAGTAGGAAATGTTTGAGTACTTTTGTCATCTGAAATTGTCATCTAAAATGAACAGAGTTATCTTTCTTTGTACTGTTATTTGTATTTGTATTACAGGATGATTGACCTGGGGTGTTTATTTTTGTTATTTCAAAACTACCTAGTTGTCGAGACTGCGACTTTTGTCTCAAAAGGGAGACATAGTGATCCTACATTCCTTCGGCGGTTGCGGCGTCCACAAATATTCACTCTGTGGTTAAAGTTTTTGAAATTTTAATTACTTTCTTAAACTATCCTGGATTTCTACCAAACTTGGACAGAAGCTTGTTTATGATCATAAGATAGTATCCAGAAGTAAATTTTGTAAAAAAAAAAATCATGTTTTTCTGTATTTCACTTATAAATGGACTTAGTTTTTCTGCCAGGAAACATTACATTCACTCTGTGGTTTTAAAAATTTTATTAACTTTCTTTCACTATCCTGGATTTGTACCAAACTTGGACAGAAGCTTGCTTTTGATCAAAAGCTAGTATCTAGAAGGAAATTTTGTAAAAATGTATTTCCTGTTTTTTTCCGTATATTACTTATGAATGGACTTAGTTTTTCTTCCAGTTAACATTACATACAGTCTGCAGTTAAAGTTTTTGAAACATTTATTAGATTCATAAACCATCCTGGATTTTTACCAAACTTGGACAGAAGCTTCTTACAATCAAAAGATAGTATTTAGAGGAAAATTTTTAATATTTATTTCCCCATTTTTGTTGAGCCTGCGACTAACAGCAAAAGTAGGCGAGACACTGGGTTCTGCGAACCCTTATGAATTTTTTTATATAAATATTTTCAAAAATTATGCCTTGTACTTGTTAATCCTTATTCATGTTTTTATGTTTTTCAGGAAATGATTAATAGCGACTGAATCAAATGGAGAATCTTCAGAGTTAAATGCATAGAAAGGAAATATGAAGATAGCCAATGCATGACATGAGGAGAAGCTGAGTTATGAATTTTGAAATTGGTATAAAGGAGATGCTTACATCAGAGAAGATTTAAAGCAAAGTTTACAGGTAGGAGACTTGATTGGTTGATTTTCATCAATTGTCATAAATTAAAGAGATGTGGAGTGATTGCCAATGAGACAATTATCCACCAGAGTCCAAATAATTCATATTTAAATTAAGCAGCTATAGGTTACTATAGCGCTTTCAACAATGAGTCCAACCCATACCATATAGTCTGCTACCTGCCCCGACATTGCTTGTTTACTGTACTGTGGCAAATGTTTCATACATATTCAAGATGATGTAAAAATAATAGGTCACTTAAGCAGCTTTTGCAAACTTTGTAAAAATTGTTGGAGAGGGAGTAACTATCACTGAAAAATAGGATTTGCTGGTGAAGGCCATAAAATTTGCTTGACAATAAACCATCTGCAGATTCTTCAAAGAGTTGTTACACAGTAGACTATTAAATAGAAATAGAAACATTTTTCATTAGTAGTTTCCATCAAAATCTTTTTTTATGTTCAGACTTTTTTTGTTAAAACACATCAATATGCAATCCTATTAGCATTTGCTCATCTGAGACATTTCTATGGAGATTATATAGTCCTGTTCCCTTGTCATGGTTCAATGACTTTGAAACGTTTGTATTGCTATTTTGTTAAAAGTTTGTGTTTTGACTAGTTTAAAGGGATCCACTTATAATAAGTCAATGGTATTTGGTATCAAGTTGTATTAGCATTGGCATTTCTCGTCTCTCTCCACAGAAATTATTTGGCCCTACATCCTGGTATTTTATCTAAATATTGGCATAACATTTTTGCCATCAATATTTTGGTACAAATTAACTTTGTCATAAACCTCCATAGAATTTTTTTTTTAAATTGGACAGAAGCTTTTTCATAAACAAGAGAGAATACCCTAAGCACAGTTAAGACTTTTCTTATTTACTTTATTTTACTGATAAATAGACTCAGGTTTTTGTCAGTCAACTTTAAACTAAATTGCACTGAAAGCAGTAGTTATAGGAAATCCTGGGACACTAAACCCTTTACAATATTTTTATGCCCCACCTAGGGGCTTTATGTTTTTCGGTCTGTGCGCATGTTCCCTATGATATGATCTTTCTAATTTTAATGCCAAAATAGAGTTTTGACCCAAATTTCGAGGTCCACTGACATAGAAATGATAGTGCGAGTGGGCGTGGGGCATCCGTGTACTATGGACACATTCTTGTTTTTAATCTGTACTAAAATTTATAAAATGATAGTTTTTAAGTTTCTAACAATATTTTGGTTTATTTGTATACATGCACATTACTAAATTATAAATGATTATAGATAGCTCCAAACTTGTCAAATTTCTAGTATTTATCTCAAATCTGTTTAAAATGGACATTCTTTACAAAAACTAATGTTGGAAATAATCATAATTGTGAAAAAGTTTTTTGTAGATTCAAATAAATACATTTTATAAATATATCTTATCTAGTGGATTACATATCCAGTGGCGGATCTATAAATTTTCATAAGGGGGGCCCACTGACTGCCTAAGAGGGGCCCCGCTTCAGTCATGCTTCAGTGATTCCCTATATAATCAACCAAATTTTTCCCACAAAATGGGGGGGTGACCCGGGTACCCTTGGCCCCCTTTAAATCTGCCTCTGATATCTGTTTTAGGTTTTAAGTTATCTTATTGTCTTATTGAGCAAAAAAGATATCTTTATCTTAATTGATATCTTATATATTCTTTTGTTTTAAAGATATCTTATAAAGTAAATAAAATATGTCTTATAAGTTAAATGAGATATCTTGTAAAATACTGTTCCCAGTCTAGGCCAAGTGTGTTTAAATTTATTTAACTTTTTTAGTGTAAAGAACATCAAACAGTTAACCAAATTAGGAATATACAATTTTACTGCATTTAAAATCAGAGACAACATCATAACATGAACATTCTCTGTCTGTTTCTTGTTTACTTCGAAATTTTATATTGATGCCGATGAACTGTAAAGTTCAAGGTAATAAAGAATTTGAATTGAATAATATATCTTGCAAAGTAAATAAGATATGTAATATTCTTATGTGATATCTTATTTGATTTAAAATTAAAAAAGATATCTTAAATAGTTAATGAGATATTTTTATATATTTCAGATATCTTATATAACTAATTGAGATATCTTATAAACTGAAAAGATATAATGTACATTGAATAAGATATATTATATAAAGTAAATAATATAACCTTGAAGATATCTTATGAACTATATACAATTATTGTTCTACTGACCTTGAGGAAAATAACCTTTCCTTGATATAATAATTTTGGATATTAACTCTTCATGATGGACATAACTGTATCATTATACTGAACTAAATACAAAGATGAAATTATTTTTTATTAATCTTGAGGCGGCTGCCATATTTTCACTAGCTAGTTGTTATTTTGACATTGAAATGTACACGGATATTCCTGAAGAGTTATTGTGCCTACACGCATATTCCAGGACAGTTATTTTGCATATGTGCATATTAACAAACAGTTATTGTGTCTACATGCAATCTGCTGCGAGAAAAAGGGGTTATTCTCGTAGAAGAAATATAAAACATATACTTTAATATCTTAATTATTTTATTAGTGGTTACTATAGTAAAGTATAATAATACAAGATATCTCATAAAATATACAAAATATCTCAAAAAAATATAAGATATATCAAAGTATTTGTTTAAAAAATATCTTTAAAAAGGTATAAAATATCTTATCAACTATATATGGTATCTAAATGTGTTTAAACAATTTTCTTTTAAAGTAAACAAGGTATCTTATAAAGTGTATAAGCTATTTTGTTGAGTTAAGATCAAATAAGATTTATTACATTGGTTGCAATGAATTACTGTGATTTCCCAGTGAAATAAAACCAATAATTTCACATGTGAAATAAACTCCCATTGGTGGCCTTCGGCTGTTGTCTGCTCTATGGTCGGGTCGTTGTCTCTTTGACACATTCCCCATTTCCATTCTCAATTTTATTATCGATTTCACTCCTCTGAAGTCATTTAACAATAGGTGTTGTCAAGACATCGATGTTGCATCAAAGCAAATTGTGAATTCGATGTAGTAAAAAGAATAACTAATCAAAGAATTCAAATATCGAAAAACATTCAACTCTTGACCGAACAACACTGATAATTAACTCAAGAAGACAAGATATATATATTTAACTCTACAAGATATCTTGAAATTGAATAATATAAAAACAGCCATACATAGGTACAGGGAAATCAACCTTTCCTCCTTCTCATTGAAATTTGAGGCAACAGATATCTATTGTATTGTGTAATTCTTTTATAAAATATTTTTCATTTTGTCTATTTCCTATGTACATACATCATAAACTGAAACAACTGTTATCATGGTTAAAGTTTAATTGTATTCTCAGTTATGAATTGAACAATATAAACATATATAACATAAAGGAAATAGAGCATCGCCGCGAAGCGTCAAATGACATTGAAAAAAACTACAGTTTATTTTTTTACGCCAAATGTGATGCTATCCAAAATTTCTGGGGAGAACACTGACATGTTTAACCTATGTTACCTCCCCTTGGTCCCCTTTTGCATTTATCAGACATTAAGATTTTTATTTTGCAATTTGTTTGATTTAAGGCTGATTAAACTCCAACAAGCACCATACTTTAGATTGTAAATGTTGTTTTTACTTTTCAGTATGTTGAGAAAAGATCATAACAAGCTTTTGGTATGTTGAGAAAAGTTTGTTTGAAGAGGAATCATAGTGGTCAAAATCTTTGAATAAAGTGAATTGTATTAGAAGTGAAGCTTTAACAGACACGAGACAATAATTAATATTTAATTGTTATTTCATAGACTAATGTGAGTAGCATTTGTATGACTTGAATGTCATATTTTTCATATGAAGACATACAAGGCAAAAAATTGGATGTGACAAAAATTTGTTTGCATTTAAAGACTTGAAGAACTTGTACTGTCTTATGTAGAATTCAGGAGAATTTGTTTAAGACAATAAATTCTGTGTATGAAATGAAGAATATGTGTTCATTAAATGAATTATAAAAATGTGTTTTCTATCTTGAATTTATAAAAACAGCATAAAAAATTGATTTTCTTTCTTTTTTTCATGACTCTTATTACAGAATTAATTCTTATATTCTTATTCTTGATAGATGTGCTTCGAGAAATTCCCTACAAGGTGCCTTTTGTTTATTTTTTAGTCTGAAAGTATAATTCAAAGGGTAAACACAGAAAACTACAGTTAACTCTCAGTCATAAAAAGGTAAGGAGATGTGGTAAGATTGTTAATGAGACAACTATCCCTAAAGCCCAAAGATAAAAAGATAATGAATAAATTATAGCTTATCATGGATTTCAATACAAAAGATATTATAGCCATATAACATTCGAATACCATAAGGTACTATTAGTTATAATCGTTTATTGTTAAAGACTGCATTATGACATTTTTAAATCTGGTTTTACTCTATTGGTAAGTTACTGTCGCACTGTGTGTACACAAAAGCCACATCTTCAATCCTTATAACCTTCAAGAATATCAAACCTAGACTTACTTAGTAAATCTGAACTTTTATAGATAAAAATATAATTTCTTAGAACAGGAAACTTAGAATCAAGATTTTTGTGTTATTATTGCAGTAGATTCTCTAGTAGTTATATTTTATTAGTTATTTTCAGTGACTGACATGAAAAACTTGATAACGTTAAATATCAGTAAGCATTGGATACTTGTATACACGTATGGGAAGTTAAGCCGCTCTCTGTGTTTAGGGTTCACAGATGCTATACCTCTGCTCTGGGTATAGTAACGTCCCCACCATACATACCAAGTATCCACGTTTACTGGTAAAAACTGAGAGTGAGGCGGCTCGGTTTGGCTGAGAGTGAGGCGGCTCGGTCTGGCTGAGAGTGAGGCGGCTCAGTCAAAAAAAATTTTCCTGGTACAGACTGAGAGTGAGGTGGCTCAGTCAGCATGTGAAGCTCTGTAACATGCTTTTATTTGTTTTTATCAAATTTTAACTGGGGATGTTTTACTGTTTTTATCAAATTTTAACCTGGGGGAGTTTTACTGTTTTTATCAAATTTTAACCGGGGATATTTTACTGTTTTTATCAAATTTTACTGGGGATGTTTTACTGTTTTTATCAAATTTTACTGTTTTTATCAATTTTTAATGGGATGTTTTACAGTTTTTATCAAATTTTAATGGGATGTTTTACTGTTTTTATCAACTTTAATTGGGGATGTTTTAGCTGTTTTATCAAATTTTAATTGGGGATGTTTTACTGTTTTTATCAAATTTTAACTGGGGATGTTTTACTGTTTTTTATCAAATTTTAACGGGATGTTTTACTGTTTTTATCAAAGTTTAACTGGGGATGTTTTACTGTTTTTATCAAATTTTACTGTTTTTATCAAATTTTAACGGGATGTTTTACTGTTTTATCAAATTTTAACTTGGGATGTTTTACTGTTTTTATCAAATTTTAATGGGATGTTTTACTGTTTTTATCAAATTTTAACTCGGGATGTTTTTATCAAATTTAACCGCGTGAGTTTTATTGTTTTTATCAAATTTTAACGGGGGATATTTTACTGTTTTTATCAAATTTTAATGGGATGTTTTACTGTTTTTATCCAATTTTAACTGGGGATGTTTATTCTGTTTTTTTCAAATTTTAACCGGGGATATTTTACTGTTTTTATCAAATTTTAATGGGATGTTTTACTGTTTTTATCAAATTTTACTGTTTTTATCAAATTTTAACAGGATGTTTTACTGTTTTTATCAAATTTTAACTCGGGATGTTTTACTGTTTTATCCAATTTTAATGGGATGTTTTACTGTTTTTATCCAATTTTAATAGGATGTTTTACTGTTTTTATCCAATTTTACTAGGGATGTTTTACTGCTTTTATCAATTTTTAATGGGATGTTTTACTGTTTTTATCATATTTTAATGGGATGTTTTACTGTTTTTATCAATTTTAATTGGGAATGTTTTAGCTGTTTTATCAGTTTTTAACTGGGGATGTTTTACTGTTTTTATCAAATTTTAATGGGATGTTTTACTGTTTTTATCAAATTTTAACTCGGGATGTTTTAGCTGTTTTATCAAATTTTAATTGGGGATGTTTTACTGTTTTAATCAAATTTTAAAGGGATGTTTTACTGTTTTTATCAAATTTTAACAGGATGTTTTACTGTTTTTATCAAATTTTAACTCGGGATGTTTTACTGTTTTTATCCAATTTTAATGGGATGTTTTACTGTTTTTTTATCCAATTTTACTAGGGATGTTTTACTGTTTTTATCAATTTTTAATGGGATGTTTTACTGTTTTTATCAAATTTTACTGTTTTTATCAAATTTTAACAGGATGTTTTACTGTTTTTATCAAATTTTAACTCGGGATGTTTTACTGTTTTTATCCAATTTTAATGGGATGTTTTACTGTTTTTATCCAATTTTACTAGGGATGTTTTACTGTTTTTATCCAATTTTACTAGGGATGTTTTACTGTTTTTATCAATTTTTAATGGGATGTTTTACTGTTTTTATCAAATTTTAATGGGATGTTTTACTGTTTTTATCAATTTTAATTGGGGATGTTTTAGCTGTTTTATCAAATTTTAACTGGGGATGTTTTACTGTTTTTTATCAAATTTTACTGTTTTTATCACATTTTAACGGGATGTTTTACTGTTTTCATCAAATTTTAATTTGGGAGGTTTTACTGTTTTTATCCAATTTTAATTGGGGATGTTTTACTGTTTTTACTAAATTTTAATTGGGGATGTTTTACTGTTTTTACTAAATTTTAATTGGGGATGTTTTACTGTTTTTATCAAATTTTAACGAGGGGAAATTTTACTGTTTTTATCCAATTTTAACGGGATGTTTTACTGTTTTTATCCAATTTTAGTTGGGGATGTTTTACTGTTTTTATCCAATTTTAGTTGGGGATGTTTTACTATTTTTATCAAATTTTACTGTTTTTACCAAATTTTAATTGGGGATGTTTTAGCTGTTTTTATCAAATTTTAACGGAAAATGTTACTGTTTTTATCAAATTCAAACTGGATGGAGTTTTAATGTTTTTAAACTGGGGATGTTGTATTTTTTAACAAATTTAATTGGTGGATGTTTTAGTGTTTGTATCCAAATTTTAATTGGGGGATGTTGTATTTTTTAACAAATTTAATTGGTGGATGTTTTAGTGTTTGTATCCAAATTTTAATTGGGGGGTGTTTCACTGTTTTATTACAATTTCAAATGGGGTAAATTTATTGTTTTAATTCATTATGTATTACTAGTTTTATATTTTACATTTTTTACAGAATTTTAATTGGAAAGATTTTATTGTTTTATCCAAAATTTAAATAGGATATTTTACCTTTTTATCAAGATTTTAATTACCTTCATTTTAATATTTTTAAAAACTTGGCTGTTTAAGCCATGCCAAAGTCAAATCAGAGACTTTACAACTGGTACTCCGAAAGGAAGAGGCAGGTGTCTTACTGCAGGCATTTGTCTTGGTGAACTAGCACCTTAAAGTCCAGATAACCCACAGGCCAGCTGGCTAGTACAAGCAGACAGGTACTTGTGTACCATTTGGCATTTTTAAACTTTTGGCAATTTTTACTTTAGGACTTTTACCTTTTTCTGTTTTTTTTAAATTGTTTTCAAATATTTTTAACACCTTTCACTTGAATACACATTTTGACTGCATAATGGTTATCCAATGATAATTTCTTTTTGTAAAATTTACATCACACATTTTGGCTTATTGTAACTTTGGCTGTTACCTTAGATTTCAAGAAATGCTAGGATAACCATTTAATATTGAAAATAAAAACTACATCTTCAAAATTGGCTCAATACTAACAAAAATTTCCATGTTTCATGTCAAAAAGTTTTGATCTTTTTTTCAGTGTTGAAATATTTATTCTTCCATGCCCGGTACTTCAGGATTAAAAATCTTTTCATCAGCTAGCAAACTTTACATAGGGGTATCTTAACTCACAGAGTAGACATTTATAGATGGTTATGGTTAGGGAGCTACCATTTGATTTTTAATGGGGGGGGCTAGGATGAAAAATTTTGTCCTGCCTTTTTATTTTTCCCTCTATTCGGTCCTGCCTTTTTATTTTTCACTCTATTCGGTCCTGCCTTTTTATTTTTCACTCTATTCGGTCCTGCCTTTTTATTTTTCACTCTATTCGGTCCTGCCCATTTTTTTAGTTTATCCTGACTTTTTTTTTTACATAAATTGTCATCCTGCCTTTTATTTTTTGTAAAAAATCTCATCCTGCCTTTTTTTTACTCAAAACTGTCCTGCCTATTTTTTCTGCACTGTTGAAGCAAGATTTTTCATTTTCATTAAAACAAGGGACTGATTATTTATTTTCATAACTATATTAATAATATTTGAAAACATACAATTTTTAAATTTATTTTTTATTATAAATAATACATGTACAGTCAAGTCATTAATGTACCATTTAATCAGAATTAATCATCCTCTGCGGAAATGAATCTTCTGAATTCCAAACTGCATATACATGTATTGCATACATACACGGTATTAGAGCTGGGCTGTGACTAGCCTCTTTTAAAAGTATTGCCAAATATATTTATGCCGAGCGGAGCAAGGCAAACAAATTTTGAAGGGTTTTGAAGCCGCTGAAGGCCCAAAGAAACTATAGAACAAATGATGCAAAATCGTGCTTTCTGGGCGTTCCCAGACCCTTTCTTATTCTGAAAACGCAAGTTCTGTTTTAATAATTTTTTGACAATATTTTGGTCTCAAAGCAAAATGTATAGATTCAGCGTAAGACTTAAGTTTTTATGGACAACATCAAAAGACCAATATGAAGAATAAAGTAAAAATGTAATTCACATAGTTAAGTATGTGGCTGCTGGTTTTTTTTTTTTTTTTTTTTTTTTTTGTTGTTTCGGCATGCAGAATTTAAATCTTTTATACCTGTAAATTATATGGG